AATGGGTGTTTTCTAACCTCAGCAGCAGCAGCATTGCCTCACATGAGAAGTTCACACAGTTTCTTTTCAAAGCAGCAGCTGACAGGAACTGAACAATCTTTTTAGTTCCTGTAAAGTCGTGGCCTGTATCTCCTTTTTTTTTTACTGTACAACCGAGAGCGAAACCGTAAACAAGCGTCGATCCTGACGTCCTGTGACTCTCATGCAAACCAGGAAAAGGGCTGATGTTTTTTTTTTTTATTACCTCCCGACATGACGACAGCGGGAGCAGGTGAGCAGGGCGACGTGTGGCGGTGTGGGCGGAGAGGAAGGAGCCGAGCAGGTAGACGCTCCGTCTCTTCATGAAGATCACAGTCTGCTGAGAGTCTCCCGACAAAAAACCCACCGACAGCCGTCTTTACTGCGGATTTAAAGGGCTTTACAGCGGTGAAGGTGAGTCAGCTGTAGCATTAAATAACTACAGCACAACTTTCTGAGCTTCTTGTTCGAGTTTTTTTTTAAACTCCTTCCTCTTCCTCTGACTGAAGCGTTTACTGCGGCTTGGAAAATCCACAGATTTGCACTTTAACAGAACTTCTGATCACAGGATGAATACTTTAAAATTGTTAAATGGAGCAACAGACGAGCTTTTCTCTACCAGTGTGTAGTTAACAGCTGACAGTTCATCCATTAGTCACTACAGTGAACTAATCTAAGCTTCTCAAATGTAAATGTGTGTCAACATTTGTCAGACAAGCAGTTATGTCATATGTGGAGTCAGATGACCTCAAATGTAAGCTTTCTTTTACAGTACGTTTTGTACTATTTGACCCTTGGATGTATTTATTTTGCGAATTTCCACATATATATATATATATGTATATCTTGTATGTTTTCTTCTTCTTCTTCTTCTTCTTCTTCTTCTTCTTCTTCTTCTTCTTCTTGTCATTGTTTCAGTCTGGTACAGGTGCAAAATACATTTCTCTCCACCTTATACTGTGTATAATTGTGTTGGTGATCAACAGAGGCCTTGAATCTTGAAATTGGAGTTGACAGTAATCATTATTTGCACCCTTTTTTTTAATACCTTTGCTTGGATGCAACTAACTATGACTGTTAAATCTGCTGACTCATTTTTCAGTGAATTGATTCATTTTGGCACAACACAGTGTCACGTACCAAAATCAAAACGGAGAGTTTTCTCAACTTAGAAGCTGGTGCTTGAAAAGTGGCGCAAACTATTTCTATTTGGCTCTAAAGCTCCAAACATTCTCCCAAAATGTTCAGTGTGTTCAGTAATATCTGATTTGAAATGGTCCAAGTTTGATGCAAAGAAACCAGAGCTGAATAACCTATTGCACGTCTGGTGTTGTCTTCTTTTCAGAGCCAAATGGAAATGCAAGAGGAAAAAGAAAGGCCCGAGATCGGCCAGTTGATCTCTGTGCCTCACAAGGACACGATCCGTCTGCTGGAGGTGTACGTCAAGCGCAGCCTCAGCCTGAATGATGGCGCGCTGAAAGATAAGAGGGCTGAGAAGAAGCAGAAATGGGTGACCATGCCGAAAAGGCACCGGAGACATTCCAGCGACCCCTCCCTTCACTTGGCCGAGGGGTTAAGCGACGGGCGAATTGGTGACTTTTCTGAGGTTGACCCTTCAAAAAATGTGCCTGAGACATGTCCCGAAGAGCCGGAAAAGCCTAAAAAGAAGAAAAAAAAGTCCAAGAAACCCTCACTGTGGAAAAGTTTTATTGGATTTTTCTCTCAGAAGAGCAACAAGGACAAAGACGAGGACGAGGACGAAGACAGTCCACCAGAGATGTCCGAGTCTGCTGTCGCTGCCAACGACTGCCAGCCTGCGACTCCTGTCACCCCACGGAAGAAGTCCATGAAAAGGAAGTCCATCAGAAGGAGGTTCTCAAAAAAACATATAACTCTGATCAAACCAAATAAACCTGGTAAAGAACTCGTCCCTGATGACATCACTGGAGTCGAAGGTGAGTCTGGGAATAAATGCACCTTATTTGTGATGTGATTCAGTGTTACAGTAGTTCAGCCAGAATGAGTTGATTCTTGGTCATATTACTGTTGTAGAAGTGCTTTGTTTCCATTGTGTTTTCTCACAAGTCCATTCACAAATAACCAAAGTGTTACTTTGCAGATGTCATCAGCGTAGAACCGACGTACTCTTATTACGAGAAGGTGACGGACGAGCTGCAAAAAATTGTCCACGAGGTCAAAGAGGAAGCCAAACCTCTTTCAGATGGTGAGAAACTGTTGGATAGACAATGTAGAATAGTTCAGTACTGACGTCAAGCATGGTAAAAGAAAACCAAAGTAATCAAAAAACTGCTGCACTGCATATGAAAGTGAAAGTTAATTTGAAAATAGTACACATCTAACTGCAGTGTTATGTAAAACCTGTGATGACGATCATGTTCAACACACTAATAACACTTCCTCTTTGTGTTCTTTGGTCTCAGAGGAAGTGATCGAAAGAATCATTGCGTTGACAAAGCAGCAGGGGGATGCCATAGACTATAAGGTTGGTATTTATTGACGCTTTGCATATTAGATATGAGCTGATGTAACCGTAGCGTTAAATTCTTTGTTACACCTGCAGATTAAGTGCTGCATGTGGTCCTGATATGGTTTATAAGATCGTAAATTAAGTTTAGTCAGGAGTAAGCAAATGCCCATCAATAAACCATATCAAGTATTATAAAGATAATAAGTCCAATTAAAAGTACAAACTGCAAGACTTACTGTTATGGCAAAGGGATTGCTTCATTTTGCAATATTATTCAACAGCTGTTTTGAGTTTTCTCCAGCAGAGCAACTTCCCTTTACATCCCTCTTGTGTGTGTTAAATGTTGTTTCTGTGGTGACAGTGAGAACAACAAGTGTAACATGAGCCAGAAAGAGGCCTATAAAATAAGATGCAATGTCATAAAACCTGCTATGCAAAGCGCAGCGTGTCATGTGACTGATAAGGAATTATGTTTTGTTTGTTGAAACTTCTGCTTTTCATACAACTGTTACCCAGACAATAGACTTTAAATGTGTGTCTGACTGAATGTTAATTATTTAATAAATGATGCTGGCGTGAGGATTTGCTGCTTTACTCTGCAATATGTGATCATAAACTAATTGGTTGGACAAAACAATCAATTTGAATTTGTCAGTGTGGGTTTTTAGAGAACTGTGATGGGCATTTTTAATTATTTTGTGACATTTTATTGAACAAACAATCAACACAGTGAGAAAATAAATGGCAAGTTAATCAATAATGGAAACAATCATCATCTGCAGCCGTAATAAATCTGCCTACAAGCTTTCAGCTTTTTACAGCTGGTGTAAATTATTTGCCATATTGTTGACATCACATCATGGTTTAAGACATTGCGACTGCCCATTTATAACTGTGATGCTGTTTGTACTTTTATTAGGAGTGAATATTTGCAGTAAAATCGCCCTTGAGTCAAAGTCTATATACTGACAGCCCTCATCTTCTTATTTCCTCCAGTTGAAAGATAACCCAACCCTGAGCAACTTCTTCCAGGGGATGACGTACTCGTCCTTCCAGAAGCTGGCCGATGATTATCTGGCGAAAGAAGCATCACCGACGCACAACCCCCCCACCGTGCTACCAACGGCACCTGAGCTGGTCAAACTAGCCTTCACACTCGACTTCACAGCCAGGATAGCGGGGCTTTCCAGACAGAACATGGGCCACATTACTGGCCTGGGGAACCGTTATCTAGAGGATCGATTTAAATACAGACAGGTAAGAATCAGACAGCTGTGTAAACAGAATGATTAAAATGTTTAAAATAGAAATGTAGCTGCTCTTTCCTTCAATCAATTTCTGTGTTTTTAGTATATCTGTGAAATGACAGTACAGCATATCAGAGAGAAGAAAAAAAACTGGCACAATATGAGGTTTGTTTTAAAACTCTTGCGTTGTCTCCTGCAGGCCTGCACAGATCACCCATGGTCCGACAGCGATGACTGAGACAGCGCCGTGCAAGCACAAAACTTCAAGTGAAGCCTTTGCGTTACTGTCAGCACCACAGGCGTGGTTAAGGATGTGTTGCAATCGTGAGTTCCTTTATACATATGTTGTTTTAAATGACAAGGGGCTAACTAAAACAAGCTGTATACAGGCACACAATTGTTGCCATTTTTATTAGATTTTTACTATTTTGTGATGGAATACTTCTGCTGCAACAGCATGTTTACTGAGCAAACAGTCTGGTAGGTTTGAGCACCTGCGTTTGGACACTGAAGCTGACTTTCACATGGACGGTCAACAGAGAAACAGACCTTAGTAAGCACTCTCATAAAACACAATGGAGAAAAGCAATATGTGAAAATCACAACAAGTAGGTGTTCTACAAGCAGCACTTTAAATATTATGCTCTTTTCGCCAAATTAATTGTGTACATTGATTTGTAAGAATCCAGAAGAGCCGTGCAATAATGTGTATAAGCTAGAAAACTTAGTTAAATAATTTTTACACATGTGACGATGTTTGTTATTATGAATGCTGGCGTTCATATTATACACTCAAATAAAAAACACCTAATTTAACATTCAAATGTGTATATTTGTCATAAAACAACATCTATGTGTTACTGTTTTATTGTTTGCTAATCTAACTTATAGCTCCATAACCCTGCAATAAATAAAGCAAGGCAGATCTGAGACTTGCACAGATGGGCCTCACTCTGCCAGTAAATATTGAACATTATTCCAGTAAAGCCAGGCTTCCTCTCTTATTTACTGAAGAGAAAGTAAAATCGAACAGAAGGTGTCAAAATGTCAAACAGCTGGAGGCTGATATGAAGCTGTTTGGACTTGTTGAGGGGAGGGCTTGGACTTGGGTTTGGACTTGTTAGGAATCTGGCTTTAAGACATAAAGTCCCCTTTTTGGTCACTAATACTCGATTGATAGACAGGCTGCAGGTGACAAGTAAATGTCTCTACATTTTTAGAAGTCAGAAACCAAAATGGTCGAGACATTCCGAAGAAATACAGACATTTGCAGCAATTAACAAGACTTTGATTCAGCCACGCCTCTGGAGTCTAGTTTCTGAGCCACTGAAACAACAGCCTGCAGCATAAAAGCACATATTTTAAAATTACTGCACTCATGAGAGCAAAGTTAACATGTCGTGGCAGTAGCTGCTGCAACATCGTGAATGGTGTGATTCCATCAGATGCTTCATGTACTCAATCAAAACATGAATATGAACATTGAGAACTAAGGTTTTACATTTATAACAAATGTGTTTGTGTGTGATAATATTGTAGACCTTGTTTGACAGAATCTGTGACAGATGCTCAGCAGCATACAGGATGCCAGGTAATTATGAAATAGAATGTGACAGGCTGTCAGCTGCATGATTAAAGTGTGCAGTGAAGGCTCTCACCTGTAGAACAGGTTCCAGTGTAAGCAGCAGATCTTTCCAATGCAAAATAACTGCCTGAATATCCCTCCAGAAACAATGGACTCACAGGGGATTTCTGTGTATGCACAGCAGTGCTACGCAACATGTGCAGTCTCACCAGAGAAAACAGCAGAGGCCACAGGAGAAAAAGATTAAGGAACCGCTTCACGAGTAGTCCCTGTTAATCTTGTTGGGATTAACTGCTTTGTGACACCAACCGCAGAAGTCTAATTAGAGTTGGGCAAATTTTTGAAGCCAAGTCATTCATCTTCCTTCTTCTAAGTTTTTTGGTGTTGTTTTACATGCAACATTTAGAGCTACACTTGATATTTTGTTGATGCAACTCTAGTTAACGTCAGGTAAAACGTGGAAAGCGGCAGGTAGTGGAAAATTTCAAAACACATTTCTCAAGACGATTACTAAACGGCATTGATAAACTGAGTGACTAAACAAGCAGTTACACAACTAAAACTGAGGAGGGAAAAAAAAATACAAAAGCTTAATTCTGATTTGATGAATGACTCACATTTCATATGTGTGTGAGTTAGCAGAGTTTGGCTCAGGGCAGTTAAAGCACTTAGCAACTAATAACAAATGACAGCTGACACTGAAATGTCCACACTTGTACAAGACCAAATCTCTGCTTCCCGGACAGCAGCGACTGTAAATAAATATGTTTGGTTGTCTAACAATTTCACTGTGACAAAATTCCATTGTAGACACTGAAAATTACATAAATTCTTGTTTGAGCGTCTACTTGACACTTTTACTTCTAAAGCTTCAGACCTGTTTTTACAACAATCTGTCAATGACGCCATATTTAACATCTTTTTAATTCGTGTCTGCATGGCCGTAGACATCAAATCGAATCTTGTTCACCAAATCTGAAGAGATTAATGTACTTGAAAATTGCATAAAAAAATCTGCATTTTGTTTTTCTGTTTCGTATAAAGGTATGTGTCTCTACTGCTCACAAACAATACCAGTGAAATCCACCCTTTCACACCAGCACAAAACCTCAACTTATGTCATAAAGTACATTAGATGACAACTAAACCACAGTCAGTTGTAGAGAGGCAGCAGTTTCTAATCCTGTTTTGAATGTTAATGGTGTGGCTAACTTAGCGCTTGGCTCACTGCTTGTTCCTTCAAGACTGTGCTATTATGTGGTTTCAATTATCTGACCAGCAGCACGACAGACTGACCACATGCAGGGTCTGGATTGCCTAATGACAGCAGGTTGCCTAGTCTTGACTATTTATAGCAGCCAACAAAGTCGCTTTCATCATCAAGGCCCAGACTATTTATTTCTGGAACACATAACTGTATTGTCTTTGGCAGTAATTACTTCAGTACAATCGTAATTAAGTAACACTTTTATGAAACCAATTAAAGGACACACTGACAATATGTTTTGTGTAAACCTTTTACATTTTTATTGCTTTTTAAACACAAAGAAGAAAGATTAATCAAAAAGTCCGAAGCCCATGTCTTCGTCTGACTCCTCCGATTCCTCTTTCTTCTCTTCCTTTTTCTCTTCCGCTGGTGATGAGGATAAAGACAACAGTCAGCAACAATGTTTGGCAGCACTGATATCCAGTACAGTCTACTTTGTTAGTGAATGCTACTTGGAATTATTTTGAGGACAGGTTTAATGGCATTCAGAACTTCAATCAATCTTACAAAAACATTTTTTAAAATTCTCTTTATCAATTTAAGTTAAGAATAATGAATATATACATACCAGCAGCAGGCGCAGCCCCAGCTCCAGCAGCCCCACCACCAGCAGCGGCAGGCGCTGCCACAGCGCCACCTGCTGGTACAGAGGCTAACTTAGAGAGGCCTGTGGAAAGAGAAAGAAATATTTTTAGCCAACATCCATGTCGATCATTTTGAACTCTAAAGTTGTTTAAACTGAAGGGCTTATACCTGAGTTCATGACTTCATTGATGTCTTTGCCATTCAGCTCACTAATGACCTGTAGAGAATAAAAGATATAACCACATGGCATCCGCAATGGAAGAAAACAAATAAATCAGCAGTTTTTGGAATTGCATGATACACCATTATTAAATGTCTTACCTTATTTAAGCGTTCGTCATCGGCCTCAATTCCTACGCTGCCCAAGATGGCCTTGATGTCCTTTGCAGAGGGGCTGGTGTTTCCACCGAGCACAGCAAGGAGGTAAGCGGCCACGTAACGCATTCTGTGGAGAGGAGACAGAAAATGACAGGTGAACAATCTGTGTATGAAGTTATGCAACAAGTCAACTCTTCCAAAGTGTCAAAGGCACAGAAAGGCATCACGTCTTAACCTAGAGGCTTTGCTATGTGAAAAATGTTCCTTAAGCAAAAACAGCCCACAAATAAAGACATATTTCTTAAGAATTATTCCGATTCTACCAACATCTGAAATGAACAATTACACCATGTCAGGAAAAATGATGATTTCCAGGTCATGATAAAAAATTATTAATCAAAGTTGTTGACAAGTTGTGACCTTGTTATTTCCTATCAATGCAAATTGGATCTCTTTGGTTGGACAAAACAAACCTGAATGTCAGCCTTGTTACTCGTAAATGATGGACAACCGTCACCATTTCAGACCTCAACACAGTCGAACATTTCAACATTAACTGTGCTGCTGAATATCATATTAATGGATGGTTTGGACTAGAAAATGCAGAAAAACAGGAAACAATGCTCACTACAATTTAGTAAGGCCTACATTCAGTCTATTATCTTTTATGTCTAATTTCTCAGACCTGCTGTTTATCACAAAGAAAACTACAAAGACCGGCAAATAGTCAAATCTGATCTTTTGACTATTTGTATACATCTATTTCTCAAAATCAACTAATGATCCACACATTTAAGCTCTAAATAAGTTGTATAAGGCAGCCACGATCATGGTAAATAAAATAGTGTGTGAATCTTGTATACTTGTACCTGATTAGTACAATTTTCTGTTTCTTTGTAAAGAACAGAAGTTAGAGTCTTGTCATTAGTCAAAACCACTCGCTTGTGTTTCACCTCAGCGCCAATAATAACCACGAGGCGGCTAATATGCATTCTCCGTAGGTTTGTAAGTAAATCTCACAACGACAACGTCTTGTACCTGCATGTAATAAACAGTCAAGCATAAACAGCAGTATTTACTTAAGAATACCATAAATGGCTGGGTTTTGTTTAGTAATAAGCTAGTATTTATTTTGGGGAGGGGCGCAGTTTTGACGTTAGCTTAGCTAGCGTTAGCTTTTCTTATATTCGCATATTAAATCGACATTAGACTTAAACACTGACAGAACGACGACAGCAATAAGGCCATTGTTGGAGTTTACATTTTGCCTTTAGGGAGTGGTATCGCAACCCCTGGAGCAGCGTTAAAACTACGTTAAGTTGTGATACACGTTCATTCTAAGCTAACTCAGATAGCATGGCGCCCAGTGTTTGTAGCTGTCCTCCATTAGTGACATAACACCAACAAACAACGACACATCTATCGCAAATTGAAAGAAACGGTCGATTGTGTTTGGCATTAAAAACACAATGAGGGTCAAACCGACCGACCAAATAAGTATTAAACTGTGGAAATTCAGACTTACTTTTAAGTCTAAAGAGACACGAAACGTCGGTCACGCTAGAAAATCCGGAAGAGGCAGGAGGGCGGTACCGGAAGCTGTAAGAACTAAGAGCATCAATTTAATTGGTTCGTTTGGATGTCAGCCATACATGTCTGCACATCGATAATATTGATCAGTTTATTTACCACCACTTCATGTATTTAGCGTTTAAATGGAACCGGTGTCAACATCTTCTACTGTTATATTAAACGTTGTATTTATTTAAATTAGGGTTTTTATTACTGAGAGTGTTTTTCTCATTATACTTTTGTTGGATGTAGAGCAACAGCATACTTTCCAGGTTATAAACACTGTCACAGTTGATGTATATGTATATGCCCTTTTTTTCCACATTTTTGTCTTACCTTTTCTCCTCCATTTCTACACTTTAAATTAATCTGCAGTGTGTTTTAGCTCTAAAAATATATCTTACAAGGGTTTATTTAACAAAGTAACCTGACAGCTTGTAAATTGTACAGTAGCTTGTGAGGCTGTTTAATATGTCTTATGTCAACAGTTATGTATGTAATAATATTTCCAGTACAATATTTTTATGTGTGTGTAGCGAGAAAGAGATATCTTGATCTGTTGCAGCAGTGTTAGATGTATGTTCTACTAAAGTAAGAGTATTAACACCTTGAAGTTAAAAAAAAGAAGAAGAAGCAAAATTTAAACTACATCACCACATTATTGTATTGTCATTATTTCTGATGCATTCCCTGTGCACAGCTTTCAAACACTGGAACTCGTCAAACCAGTGCTCAATTTAATATTTGAGTAAGTTTATCTATATTTACCAATTTATGACTTATAATGAGATTATGAATATATGTGTATAATTGATTACTTTAGATATAAAGCAAATGTAATGGGAAAAGTATAATGTATCACATTTAAATGGAGGAGAAATTTAAAGTAGCATATAATGAAACTGATCAAGTAAGTTATAACTGTACAGTGTTTGGTTAAAAGATCAAAAAGTTGTCATGTCTTCCCTTAAACTAACACTTAAATGGCTTTAGATTTGCCTTTTTAATGCACTGCAGCAGCTGCCCTCCATGTACCACAAGTAGAATAAAAAAATAAATAGTGAGTTAATTACTTTGTTGGGGAAAATAAAAGACAACAGCCAGATGCTACACATCTTTAAAAATATATATTATGCAACAACAGCAGTGTGTGGTGTGCTACTTTAGAACAATACACTGAGACAGTTCATTGCATACAATATTTATTTCATCGAGTCACAATCAGAAATAGAGTTCTGAAATTGTGATGTAATTTTCTCTAGCTAAGCTGTAGCTATAAATGGATTATTTACTGAGCAGTTGTAATACCAAGTGTGCTTTAAATGTTATAGAAAACCCCCAAAACAGCGATGATTCAACAATGAGATCACCCTCTTTGACAACCTACAATTCGGCCAGCTCCTCCTGTCTCTCCTGTTTGAAGAGCCAGTCGAGCAAAAAGACCACTGAGTCCGACATGAACTCTACAATCTTCTTCACGTTTGTCACGTACCACATTTTATAGCTACATTCTCCCATCAACACGAGGAGAAAAATGAACAAAAACCCAAGGAAGATGCGGTCTAAGTAATAGTTTGCCTTTTCTCTGGAGGTCCACTGCTCCCATGGCAGCGCACGCCGAGCTTCACTGTGTTTGCTGAAGTGCAGCAAAGCTCTATGTTCGTCATCCAGCTCGTCATCCTCTGGAGCCTCCAGGTCTCGGCTGCCCTCTGCTCCATCAGCTTCAGCCATTTTATAGTAATGTGTTGCAGCAAATTAAGCGTCTGCAGTCTGAGACACCAACAGAAACAAGATATTAGATCTGAAGAGTAAAGTAGTGAAGACGTTTCTGAGATGCCTCAAGAAGCTTTTTCCTAAAATGAATACGAAGAGCCTTACCTTGACGAAGATTAGTCTCTCAGATGAGACAAAGTCACACACAAAATTGAGACTCTCACACTGGCACCACGTGAATGCCCCTTCAACATTTGTTAGGCCACAGGAGTGTGTTGTGCAAAGGCAGTAAATGCCAAGTTGGTTGTGTGGTGCAGACCTCAATAGGATGAGGGCTGTGGATTAGGCCACACTCAGCAGTTTCAAATCCCTCAGCGAGGATGAAGGTGACAGATGGTAATATACGTATCGATGTGTTTGTGACTGAGGGACAGACAGAGACAGAGATAGAGGGTGAAGGTTTTACATGTTCATAAATCTGAGTTAAATAAATGTCTTTGTGGAGCTCACTGTAAGTATTAACACAAAACCTGGTGCTTTTAAGCATTTAAAGGTGCATATTCTAAATCTGATTAGACATTTTTTTATAGTATTAAATACTGCGAGTAGATGTTGTATGACTGAAATCAGACAGAAGTCAAACCGATGACAAAGCAGAACTGGTGCAGCTTTAGCATAAGCTTTAGCTTTCAAGCTGAATAAATCACTTCAGCATAATGCTCTGTGGGTAATTTACTCAAATGCTGCAGAGCCTTTTCACCGTTCTGCCACAGCTTTTGAAATATGGCTTAAACTAACTGAATTAGCTGAAGAGGTTCCTGCACACTGTGATAACGACGGATGGCTGAATTGCTTGTGATGTTGCCAGAGTTTTGCCTCATTTGGTGACTTCATTGTTCATTTACATTCCAAGCAGGGCCTTTTCACTTCTCTGTGTATCGTATCCTCAAACCTCCAATGTGAGTGTTTACTAATTAATCATTCCACTAAATCTAATCACATTTTTTTGGTTAGTTCATCAATTTGGTCTAAATTTAAATATCTCAGCAACTGTGTGATGAACTGGCATGAAGCACGGATTGTGTCCTGAGTATGAATTTTATTTACTTTGGTGATCTCTGACTTTTCTTGTAGCATGACCAGCAGGTGAACATTCTCCTTTGCCCAATATTATGGTTTATGACCAAATTTCTTCAAAACCCACATCATCAGTGGCAACCTGCTAACACACTAAGAACAACTTGAAGGTTGAGTTTTTCATTAAATTTATACTTGACATTTCTAAAAAAAAAAAAAAAAAAGATTGTTTGAATATGTTAATGCACAATTTTGCACAATATTTTTTAGACTATAATACATAAAGGCAGAAATTAGGATTAAAAAGTAGGTATTTTAAGCATTAAAACATTTCCCCCTCCCCAAACATATCACATTGTGTCACATGAGGGAGTTGTTTCTGCTGTCGTGCACCATGCGGTGATGGTGGTAGTGAGTGTGCATTTCAGGATTTTTCATCATAGGCAATTATTATGTTTGTACCGGTTGTACAGACTCCAGGAAGTCAGAGCATTGAGTTCACAATTCTCCTAACAGGAGAAGGTTCAGAGCATCTAAAAAAAATATGGAACTGCTTTAATGCAGGTGTTGATGAAATTTCTCTGCTTCATCTGTAATAAAAAAAATGCCACTGTGTGCAGATTTCCTTTTAGACAGGAGGGTTACATTCCTGGAGGTATGATGAGGTTCTGGACAGGATGTCAGCACATGTAACTGATTACTGTTGTGGTTCCATCCGTACACACAGTTGCTTCATTTCCAGGACCAGGAGCAGCTTTTGGTACTGGCACCAGCAGGAGCAGTGGTTACGGATCTATCAGAGATTCAGCTCAACAAAAACACAAACTTGTGCTGTAAATCTTCTTCTTAATGTTTGCTATCCTCCAAATTAGTCAACTCCAACATAAAACATAGTTCTGATGTATGTTAAAGAAACAAGACATTACTGGTATCAGCGGATCCTTGGGTGTTTTGCATACTCAACTTGAGAAATAATTTTTTAACCAATGCTTCTTCTATCTTTGGTTCTGACTGAGGCTTCCTGTTGTTTTGACACCGATGAGCAAGTTTCTCGGCATATGAACTGATATACTTCTTCACTGTCAGATCACAGGAAAACTTGAAGAAACTATTCATGTTTATTTTTGTGTTCTTACCAACAATCTTTTTGAGCATGAAATGTTTGTTGTAACACTTATTATGTTGACATGTACATTAGAATTCAACGTGAATCAATTAGGGAAGCATTGAGTGAAAACAAAATCAAGCAGGCAGATGGGGATAATATTTGTTCCCCTAATTGCAGGCTCATTTTTTAAAAGATGACTTAAAAAAATGTGAATGTGTCAGAAATCGATATGTCCCATGACTCAGTGAAGGACTTCGCTGTGTCTTATAATGAGTTGATATTCCATATCAGTTCCACATCACATGGAATCCCATGTTCATGACTGATGTACTCCCAATGGAAACTATGAACAAAGAAATACTGCAGTCCTTTTACAGGTTTACATCCACTTTCTCGGTCAGGCCTGGTGTGCTGGTGGGGCATGGGGTTGGCTCTGCAGGTTTACATAACATGCAGCGGCGAGTGATTTGGATCAGTGTGACACGAAATCGCTTTATCCTGAACGCATACACCATGGGGTTGAGGGCTGAGTTCACATGGGACATGAAAATCCCAACATACATAGCAAACTTAGGTACGTAACACTTTGGGCAAAAGAAGTTGATGCAGTTCATGATATGTATTGGCAGCCAACACACCAGAAAGAGGAAGACCACCAAGGCCAGTGACTTGGCCAGCTTCAGCTCCTTCCGATAATACCTGTCTCCATCACATGTGGCCTCGGCACGGCGGTTAAGCTGCCGCCGGATAACCCTGAAGATCTCCCCGTACAGAATGATCATTATGGTCAGTGGTACCACCACCCAGCCGAAGAAATTAAAGTACACCATGTAGTCCATCCTCATGACAGTGGTGAACTCGCAGACGATCTCGCTGGAACTGCTGAGGTTTCCTTGAGCATCGCGGTTGTTCCAACCAATCATTGGTACCAATCCAGTGAGGAATGAGAGGATCCAGCACAGACAAACTGCCACGTATGCCCTCCCCTGGGTCACGATGGTGCTGTACCTGATTGAAAGAGAAATGACAGGTTTTCCAATCACCTAAATGCACACATGGTTACTAATGTAATAATATTTCTTGGAACAAATGCCCATCTTTGTTATTTCTCTCAGGTGCCAGCTTTTGACATTTGCATCCAACTGATAAACAATGAGAAGTGCAGACGACTGCCAAATCTCTTAACAAACTGTGCTTATGTCAGTTATTTAGGCAGACAGGAGCATTTCAATTTGCTTAAAAGCTTTTGATGTTTAGCCCATTGATTTGCATTAAATCAAGCAACGATATATGGTACCACTGTGTGTCAGACATCACTGAGAGCCTCCGACTGTTCACAAATTCTCTGAAGTTAAAAGCACACATTTAACTCTCTGAGGCTAAAGACAATAAAATATGAGATATTATTAGTGCATCTGCCATAACCATTTGTTCTTAATGGCATTATCAGAAAATTAAAAGGTTTTGTTATTTAAGGATGAAGTTCATTTTTTTATGTTTGTTTCAGGATTCAGTAAAAATAAAAGCTACTTGAGTTTGTTTAAAATAGTAGATAAGATAAATGAGAGACCATGAGCTAAATGCCATACAGTGCGGTAGCAAATAAATTCGTTATGTGACAGACACAAATACGTATAAATAAGCTGACGAATATATAAAGCATTATGTCAACAGTGTATTTGAGGGTGGGACTAGTTTAGATCTCAGTATATTTTTAAGAAGAAAGCTGCAATGGACTGGAAGAGGCAATCACGACCAGTCCAGGATGACACTGATACCCATTTCCTATTGCTCTCAGTTATGAATATTTTATTGCTCTTCCTGTAAGCAGAGCATTATTTACTTTTCTGAGAAGTCATTTTTTCTGGACATTTTTACCACAACTTTCATCATCTAATGTAATCTAAACCGACACATGTTTTTTTTTTTTTTTAATAGTTTATGTGTAAATTCCAAGATAACCAAATGACACTTTTTAACAGAAAGTGTAACAACTGGTTTTACACCTTGTTCCTCACCTGGTGGGAATCTTGACCCGCAGATATCTGTCGATGGCTATAGCCAGCAAGGAAAGAATGGAGCTCTGTGTGATGATCAGCAGCAGGCAGGAGAGGAAGAGGCAGGTGTAGAACTGAGTGTTAAATCCCAGACTGATGATGATAGCCAGAGGAATGACCAAGACTCCCACTGCGATGTCAGCCACAGCCAGAGACACGATGAAGCAGAAGGTGGTGTTGCGGAGAGCCCGGTTCACGCACACCACCAGCACCACCAGTACATTCCCCAGCACAGAAGCCAGCGCGATGGCTGTCTCAATGGAGATGTACATCATGTCCACATGCTCCCGGGGCTTGATACCAGGAGAGGAAGACATTTCTTTTTTTTTTTGCTCTTCACAGATCTCACTTACCTTTACTCAGAAAGAAAGAAATTAATCAATTTTTGAAACTTCTTCTTTCCACTTTGGGTTTTGGTTCAGCAAAAGCATCTTCCATTGTGTCTGTTCTCAGCCAGATAGGTGTAGTTTTTCTCTTTGCATCGTTTGCACACTGAGCGGCCTGTGTGCTCATGAAGGCACACTGAATGATTAATCCTCAGCATGTTATTCAGGCTCTGCACAGGACTGGGTACCAGTGCATCACCACTCTGCTACATCCTTCACTCCCTCACTCTCTCTCTCTTGCCCGCTCTCTCACTAATCTGTGTACGCGAGTCATAAAATCGAGGGGAGGGACGTTGATTTCTGCAGCACCCTGCAGCAATAGTTTTGTTCACGTTAAGTGTGTGTGTGTGGGCGTGTGTGCAGTTTTTGAGAGAAGCTGTGGTCTGTAATTAGTGGCAAGATGCATTTTGAAAAGGGCATAAAATAAGCTGTAAACTGATGTGCATTGGAACTGATTTTGTTTTATCCCCACCCAAATGAGGAGATGAAAGTGCAATGTCGAAGTTGGAGAAAGACTGAGTTTTTCAACTGTAAAATCACATTTAATAAACAGTACTGGTCAAACTCAAGGAGACAGTCTGGCACATGACCCCTCAAAACCACAACTTTTTACACTTTAGGTTTTGCATGTGATTTAAGCAAACAGGCAACCATATGTTAATCATTGATAGATGCTGATGTTGTCATTGTTAGAGAATGTAGATTCCCTCAATGAGTCTTTTTGCTAAGCTAAGCTAACTTGCTGCTGGTTGTTTAGGTTTAATGTATTGGGCAGACAAGAGAGCCGTATCATTCTTCACCTAACTCTTTAAAAACAACAACAACAACAAAATAAAAAACAAATAAGAGCTCACTTCCACATGTCAGATTATTTCTTTAAAAGGAATTAATCATCGTATTGCAAACAAAACAATTTTACAATAATTTCAGTGCTGTCATAAAGGTTGCATTGAGCTCACACCATCTGATTAAACTATTCTTAGAATTCATCATATTCAGTTGGGACTGAAGTCTTCCCCTGTGTGAAGGATCATCTGTACACCACATGCAGTCAGATTTTAATTACACAACATCAATACCTGAAAGACACGCTGATAATTGGAGGTATGAAAGACTTATAGAGGTTGAGGTCCAATTTATCATTTATGTCATCCACTAGCAATAAAATCAGATCAATAGCAGCATTTTGAAGCTTTGACCTAGAATTTAATCCATCAATCAGGCGCAAAAAATCTCTCCTCTCTGAGAAGCTATAATGTTTTATGATGTTTTAAAGTACATTTTAGTGTTGTTTTTAAAAATAAGCAATAAACACTTTATTGACACAGGTTTGAATTGAATTTCAATTACACAATTTTTCCCATTACATCTCTTTGTCTTCATAGTGTTCTGCACAAAATGTACTTTCTGTAACTGGGACTGCAGTGGATACAAGTTTGAGTACTCGCAAAAACTTAATTTAATTGTCCATCCGAGGATGAAAAGACTTTGGCAGCAAGTATCTCTGAGTAAGCAATCACTGAGATGGTCTTTAGTTGCTTAAGGAGGCAGATTCAGTTTCTGCCTGTAAGTTTAATCAGTTGGTTCACTTTACTTTAAGAAAAGCGATGACTCTGGGACATTGCTGATGATCTCAGAGTTTGGTGTATCCATTAGAGCGTTTGTAGGCAGACACTGAATCATTTTTTATTATTCCTCTGTCATCGCTGTGGCTGTCAACATGCAACACCACCGGAGACGCAATAACTGAAAAGGGCAAAAATGACAAAAAATACAATATTGCACTATTTGTCAAACATAGTGGCTCAGCACCACCGGTATATTGCATTTGTTGCACTTTTGTTGTTTACCCATTTCTTTGTTGCAGCGTGCTTGTTTCTTTTCATCCCTCTTCGGTCGATCCAGCAACGTAAAATTTGTCCTCTGTGGCAACGTAAAGATATCATTAAATTTTACTTGAACCCCATTGAAATGTTAAAAACTGATTTTGTTGGCTGTATATGGTTTCAGTATAATACAACAAAAAATCAGTTAGGTAACTATTGTGTCATGTACATAAATGTGCCCAGCCTATACCGACTTATATTATACAAAATAAACAAATACATCTTACTGCAGTGGTGATACTTTATAAAATCTGAACCCTTGACCCCTACTGAAAGGGGATCCAATGACTCTGTTATGCTGATGGAGGCATTTTGCTGGCATTATTTGGGTGCACTTGACCTCTTGGAGAAAAGGTCACTGCAAATCAATACAAAGTTGAGTGATCACTTTTATCCTAAGATGAAACATTGCTGTCCTGATATGAGTGGTCTCTTCCAGGATGACTGTGCCTACATCCACAGGGCACGAAGGGCCACTGAATGGCTTGATATGTAGGAAAATGATAGTAAATTGTATTCTATGGCCTTCACAGTCAACAGATCTCAAGTTAATTGAACACTTATGGGAAATTTTGGACTGAGGTATCAGGCAGTGTTCTCGATGGGCATCGTCAAATCACCGAATGAAGGAATATCTTTTGGAAGACGTTTCATGCCTTCAGTAGAGCCCCAGAGAACTGCAGAGTCAATGCCAAAGTGCACTGAAGCTGATTTTGCAGCCCATGATACTAAGACACTTTATGTTTTCCTTTAATTTGTCACTCATCTGTAAATCCAATGTAATTTCTGCCACTGATTCCTTCTACTTTAGTTGTACCGCACAACATAATTACCTATAAACAGACGTAATAAATTTGATTATGGTCTTGCAGGGATCCGCTTGTGCGTGTGTGCCACGGGAATTACATGACAGTGAAGCTTCTATTACCGGTTTCAATTAACAAAATTATTGTCAACGTCCTCACCGAGCATCCCAGCTTAATGTAGAATTTACTTCACCCTGACATAACCATTCCGCTGCTCTGCTGTCTTTATTTGTGTCGATATTAATTAGTCAACCTCAGCGGTTCTTCTAAAGGATATGAGCGCTCAAATTAATGAGCTGAATGGAGGGCAATCAAAAATAAATGTGGCATGGGTCTGAATATTAAATGTACAGACCAAATTGCTCCGCAGTGTTGAATAGTGCTCATGGGATGGCACCAGTCAGATGATGTTCTATGCTGTTGTTTGTTTCATGTGTCTGCATTTATTGCTTTGTTCATTTATTTGAATATTAACTAATGCAGATTTTAAACAGGGCGTAGTTCTGGATTTATCACATACACTGTTAAACAGGGATTGGATTTCCATTAAGTGATTATTTTTTGGTGATAGTCATGTGTTATAGGTGCATTTATTTGCAAAAGAATAAACAATGACACAAACCTCATCTTCCCATTAAAACAAAGGTAGTTATTATGGGTTAGACAGTCTACCACACATTCAGCTATTTTTCATTTGTATTTGGAAAATTATTTCAAAATAAAATGTTAAATTTAAAGTTTCATAATGCATTTCTTTTTTGACAATTAGAGTACAAAAAGATTTACTGAAACTCAACTCACTAAAATATGAGTTATACTTATGAGCCCCCCTCCTTGTTGTTGAATTCCAGGTTGGGATTATTTGTTTATTATTTACTTATTGTTTGTTTTAAAATTTTTGGCATTTTGGTTTTTGTGGGTACATTAACTTGCTTGATGAATGTCTTTACCACTCCCTTATTATAGCTTCTTTACCTTCATGAGTGCGTGCATGCATGGACCAGTCCAACAGAGTAATCTCACATAGCCAGCTCCATCTCCACAGCCCTTTGTCAGCGCTGTAGAATGGTATACACCTTATTGTCATTCATCTATAGGGGGAAATGCTCTGGTTTGTTCATATTTCTTGAAAGCAGTTACAGTTGTCTTGGGTGGTGCTAAGCCCAGGATGCAGCCCTGATGCCCTTGCAAAATTGTGTGGAGAGAAATATTGTGGTAAAGAATTTATATGCAGGGAGGTGAGCACTGACATTCAAATGATTAATTCTCTAAAGGAACTAAGTCTGCTTTACTGCGTGATCCAAATCTTACTATTGTCAGTGTAAAATCCTTCTCTGGGTTATTGTTGTTGTTTCCCAGAGTGGAGGGAATTTTGAAAACCGCAGCAGGGTGATGGCCTAAGGGAAGGGCAATGCTGTGTGAAGCCTGCACAGAAACGGCAGATCTCATAGATATTAAGGGAAACATATACTGCAAATATATAAAAGTGAAATCACAATGAAGCACACTTAAAATGCAGAAATGCAACATTTACAAAATCGCATGCAAAAGTGAAACCACAATTAGGGAAACGTGCTGTATGACTATACTAGTACCGCATTTGCAGATCCATGGCCACGCCCATCTTACGCACAGATGCAGACGTACACCTGAGTGACGTTCTCTCCTGCTGCGCACCTGCAGGATTGTGGGTGTTCGTTCATGGAGGTGGAGAAATGCGTTTGGGAAGCTGTTTAAAAAGCTCCTACTTTTTCCACAGTCTTTGAGGATGTAACTGATGAGGACCATTTGGAGACACTGTTAACTGAGGATGGAGACAGTTTCAGCTCGGTGGTCTGGTGAGTCAATCTGCATTCATTATGCAGTAAAAAGACTGCGGTGTTTGCCACTTAAGCTCAATGTTGAAATTTTGACCCAAACTGGCTTCGGTTTCGTTTTTCCTGCACCCGGTGTTGTTTACTGTTGAGCCTGCATAAAGTGTTGACCAGCACTTATCTATTAGGAGCAGGCCACAAACAGAAAATCAATAAATAAATAAATCAAACTTTATTGTATAGCACTTCATACATTTACACTTCATACCCCCCACTTCCTTCCAGCATCGTAAATAAATGCAATGAGGAAACACTAGAGGACAAAATTCTCAAAAAAAAAAAAAAAAAAAAGCAAACAAAATAACACAATAACAGAAAAATGTTGGAGACCAAAAATTACTAAGTAAATCAATAAAAGCAATAAATTGCAAGAATAGCAGCATGCACATTTATCATGACATATTTTCAAATAAAGTATATGTTGCATAATCAACACAAATCTGCCTGAAATGAATGAAAAATATACAAAAACTATATTTAAGCAATCGGTAGCTAGCATGGTTGTGCTTAGGCTCCACACCATAATTTTTGAAAAGTAGTTTTTGTCAAATGGACAACAGAGGGTGAGAGCCATCCAACCACATAGCAACGGATGTATACTTTGAATTTATGGAATACGGTCATACATTAGCTCATACAGAACCTATAGATTTTTTAGAAGGGGAGGCACTGTGGGACAGTGGCACTGTTGCACCAAAGCAAAAAAGGTTCTGTGTTCAAACCTGTTTCATAGCTTTGGCCTTTCTGTGTGGAGTTTGCATGTTTTTCCTGTATGTGCATTGCTTTTCGCCTGGGTGTTATGACTTTTGATGATTCTAGATTGTTGTTTTGGAGCTCATTGTGGTGGCTCTGGCTGGTCACCATCATATGGCAGTGGTCTGACTCACTGGATGTAGATCGAAGGGTAATGAGCCACGCATTTCACACAGCTTTCTCTTCCCTTTTCCCTATCTGTGTGTTACTGTTTCAAAAATCCCCTTTACTACAAGAAACAACAACCACGTCTGGGCAGCAACCTACTCACTGAAAATGACCAGGTTTTAATGAAGGTTCGTATCATGCAGTAGTTTCCCAATTTTGGGTGGAATATCCATTTTAATGGCAGTGCTCACCTCCCTGCATGTAGATGTTCCACCAAAACAATTCCCGACTTTGAGTAAACACCATCGCTGCATCCTGTTCGCAGCCATGCCCATTAGGACTGCAATTAGTTTCCCTTAATCATGCATAAGTTTAAGCCTTAATACAATTAATACGGGTGAGTTACATTAAAAAAAAATTACCCCAATAGAGTTGTCATGAACACGAGAATTATGAAGAGAGACGAAAACCTTTTTTTATTCCAGCATGTTACTATGTTAATGTCAAGTATATTTGGACATTTTCACATGGAAGTCTCCAGGGATTGTTTCAATTATGAAGTGAACCTCAAGTGGCCATTTAGGAGCTGTTTAATTTTTGAGCTTTGGAGGTTGCAGCTTGATTTTTCACCGACCTACCCTGAATGTATGGTACATTCAGTGACTGTTCACCAAATCACAATCTATGAATTCAAATCATGACTTTGCAACAGTTTGGTCAGAAGGCTCTAGAGCTTTGTTACTAATTCGGCTGATAGCTACAGTGGCAAGGTTAACCATGAAGCCATGACATGAAATTACTTTACATTTTATCAGAGGAACCCTGAGGAGTAGCTTTTTTTTTTTTTTTACTGAACCAGCAGAGGCAAACCGCTGGCCACTCCTTTCAGTGCTGCAGGGATATTTTTGTCATTGATGATAAAGTGACTCTACTGTCAACCTTTTAATGTAACTTCCACAGTTTCAGTAACAGTTCATTCTTTGTGGAGTATTTCATTTGGTTTAATTTGTATGTTTTATCAGAAGCCTCTATATTCTTAATTAGCAATAGTCAGTATTTTAAGCATGCTGCTGAACTTTAGGTGCCAAACAGAACCACTTTTAGATTTAAAACAATTGAATTTAAATTATACATTGATTGTTGACCATGTTTTTTCTGGTTACATGAGCTCTCAGGGCAAGTGTACTTGTTTTAACCATACATTTTTGAGTGCTGATACGTTAAAAAAAAATAAAAATAGTTACTCGGTAAAAGCATTTTCTGCAAGAACGACCCAGTTCCTTGTTGTATTGCAGTTATCACTTTTGTATTTGGCTCTTCATCTTGTTTGTGTTTTTGTACATTTTTAGAGAAAGTCATTGTTTGCTTTGCTTTTTCACTGTTATGCCAGCTCAGTAAAACCTGGGCTTCTTTAAGGAAGTGAAATTCATGACCTTAATGCACTTGTACAAAGTAATCAGATGTATGTGATTACACAGCGTATATGCAGAAATCTACAATTCAGCACCCTCCTCATAAATGTGACAGATCTAAAGAAACCTTTGTCACCTGATCAGTCAGATTTTTCCAACATATGAGGGGAGAATGAGAAAAAAAATCCTTTACTCACTATTCATTTTCTAATTGGAATACACCAGCGTAACTGTACTGGTGTGCTGTGATGTGTTTTTAAAAAAAGGAAAATTATTTCTTGTAGCAAAAGGAAATGTTGTTACATGTAATGTCTCAGTAGTGTCTACAACAAGAACAAAAAAGTGTACATAACAAAAGTCACTGCAGCATGATGGACAGCTGCAGCACAGTCCTGGTCCTCTCTCCTGTCAGCTCAGGCTCGACTGTGCCACTAGAAATGTAGGAGATCTGGATGTGTGCAGTGTGATTCTGGTTGCATTAACTTGCTCCATTAGACTCCAGGGTGGAGTCTAATGGAGAAGAGAAGATAACAAATGGTCAGTACTTGGTAAAGCTATGATTTCTGTGGTGCTAAACAGTCTAATCTGTTGTTGAGATATTATCTCATATTTCCGCCTAACAGAAGTATCATAAGCGCTCTTATCATAGACACTATTTCCTGGCCCAAATAATGTGTTGCAACTTCCTGCAGTTTAAATGTGTTTTTCATATTCACGTGTTAGACCAGGCAAACAATTAAGAGTAAAATGCTACCAGACAGTGACAGATAAATATATTATTATATATTTAAGCCTGCGAAACCAACAAACAAACAAAAAAAAAAAAAACACGGGCAAAGCTCTCTGTAAATTGTTGTGTGTCATCACATCTTGGGGAAAAAAAAAAAGAAACGAGTGGTAGAGGACTTCCTCAAAGGTTTCACAAGAATGAAATGAATGATCAGTGGCACAACGCAGTCAGGCTCAGACTCAGATACGCTGCATCAATTACCATCAGACATTTGCTTCATAAGAGGCACGATGAATGCTGGAGAAGTGATTTACACGCTGGTGGAAGTGCTCATCGCTGTTAGCTGCTGTCTCGGTAACTTGTTGGTTATTTTGGCGCTGTGGACCAGTAAAAGCATTCAGCAGCCCACCTTCTGCCTTATTGTGTCTCTGGCTGTGGCTGACTTCATGGTTGGCTGCGTGGCCATACCACTGGCTGTTGTTGTTGATGGACGAGTGAAGACTTCATTCCACGCTTGTCTCTTCATCAGCTGTGTGGTCATCCTGTTGACTCTAGTTTCAGTCCTGTCTCTTCTGGCTATTGCAGTGGACCGGTTCTTCCGGGTGTACGTCCCTCTCAGGTAGGACTTTTTCTGGACTGTTATTCATGCAAATGGAACTGCTGGGCATGGCTTTGAGTCAGATGCTTTGCATTTTTAGCCAGTCTTAGTCCTGACCTCTTTCAATAGCTTGCACTTCCAAAAGGTTCTACTTTACTTACAATGACTTCATACCTTTGTGAAGATAATGCTAAATTCTTCTTTTTCAATTGCAATGTACTGGTCAGAGTACGCAATGTATTTTACCTTAACTATTGTATTTCTCTGTAGGTATAAAAGGACTGTAACCCAGAGACATTCTTGTCTGGTGGTCGCTGCATGTTGGCTTGTTGCAGTGCCACTGAGCTTCACTCCCATGCTCGGATGGTACAACCACAAAAACCTGTCAGAGTCTGTCAATTCTACAATCGTCTGCCAGTTCATAGCCGTCATCCCCATGTCGTACCTGGTGTACTTCAACTTTTTCCTCTGCACCTTCACACCTCTGTTGGTGATGATTGTATTGTACAGCTATATCTTCTGTTCTGTTCGAGGCAACCTTCGAGAGAAACCAGGCAGTGTTACCCCACAACAGTCTGAGAGCTACATGAAGAAAGAGAAGGAGCTTGCACGATCTCTGTCCCTGGTCTTGGCTCTGTTTGCTCTGTCCTGGCTCCCTCTCCACTTAATGAACTGCATTGTTTACTTTGGTAAACCAACTGATGTGCCGATCTTAGCGTTCCATGTTGGCATTGTGCTTTCTCATGTTAACTCAGCTGTCAACCCAGTTGTGTATGCATTCAAAATACAGAAAATCAAGACGGCATTTCTGAGGATCTGGAGACAATATCTTTCGTGTGCAGCAGAAAATCAAGGATCTCAGACAAGTCAGACAACAGACAACAATCCCAGCAGCAATGTTAACAGTGTGACCAACAATGACTGAATGTAGATTTCTTTGTTTTTCGGAGCAAGTTTGACTGATAGACTTTTTATAACATGTTAGATGCATTTGAATTCAACAGCATTTTTTTCATTGATAAAAGTGTGCATGGATACAGCAAACAAATCTATCCATAAACACTGAATGCTCTGTCATAAGCAGGACTCTGTGTTCTGTGCATATGTGGAGGAGTTCATGTGTCTGCATGTATTGCGAAAACTGTCGCAGAGGAAAAGGGTAACTTCCACTTGTCTTGAAAGCTTTAAGTTTTACACGAAGTTTCATATCACTGTTCTTTTTCTGTTTCTGTTCACGTTTCAGATCTTCATTTCAACAGAAAATGCACTCTGTCTTAAAAATGACATTCAATATCCTTAACGCTATGTATTCAATTTAAATTCAACATAGCTAAACCAGGTCTGTGGTGATGAAGTCAGATATCTGGGAATGGAATGCAAAACATCATCCTTGCAAAAGTAATTTTTTAAACCTTTGCTTAGTGATTGTTCTCACTTTAACAGGTATGTGTTAAGTCAGCTCTCCTGCATTCTGCTGTTGTTTTTAATCATAAATGTTTGTAATATTTTGTTCCCACATGTATATGGAAGTAGACACATATTTCAAAACAGTTTCTCTCTCTCACACAGACACACATACCGCAAAGTATAACCACAAATATGACAAAAGAGTTTGAGCGAGTATTGACACAATTGCAGCAAGCACTGGGAGTTTTTATTGCAATGCCATACAGATGCTAGTTGTACTTCTTAACTAGAAGTACCACCACAATTACCAAATGAAGTAAACAGTGCACTGTACAGACTTTATTACACACCATCTCTTTCTATGCAATGTTAGGATCATATATATATATATGTACTTTTAATTTGCAAGCCCTTCTAGACAAACTTCTCTCATACCTTTGCAAATGTATTTCGCAGCACATTGTCCAAACTTTTTCTTAGATTACAAGATGGCGATGGGAAAGAAAGCTTATGTGTTTTCTGCCGCAGCTGCCTGAAATAGTTTACACAAGGAAATTGTAGATCTTGATAAGCCATGCTGAATGTAAGGCTTTTGTAAACTTTATGGTAAATGATTCCTTTACTTAATGTGTCTGATTGTAATTAATTATAGACATCTTAATAATGACACATTTTTGTCACTTTTTTTCACTTTTTTAGTATTGTTTTATTTGTATTTTCGACAAATTACAAGGGTATTCCTCGTTACAATAAACAAAAAAATAGAATAAAAATACTTGTAAATTAACTTGTGTTTCTTGCATCACAATTTTGCTCCAGTTTTTAACAAACATGTGACAGGACATGCCTTTGCGCTTGCTCACGATTTCACGGACACTTCATTTCATTCAGGTTTGTGGTTGTGAAAGTTTCTTTCATTTCCTCAATTTTAGAATTGACAGCTCAGATTTAAACAGAGTAAGTGTGAATGTGAAGTTACATTAAACCGTTTTTGATGTTTATAAATGCAGGCTTTTAGACCGTATTTACTTCCCTCCATTTTAAACAGTTTGTACATATTTACAAACCAACATTAGCTGCCAAAATGTATTATAAAACAATTTATTTTGTCTACACTACGCTGGTAAACTTTAGAGCCACTCTCTTTGCAGAAGGCATGTCAATGGGACATGATAGAGTTTTACTTGCATAAGCCTTAAACACTGTCTCATTTCCTTATTTTGCATATGTAAGTCTTTAACTGTGGTCCTTTTGACAGGATTATCAAACAAATTTAATATCGGTCTAATGTCAGTCCTCTAATTTGGCTGTAGAATGATAAAATGGTGTTTTTAAATAACGCGTCAGATAATATCTTTAGTTCTAAACTGTCCAAAAAAGATAGTAGATGAACCTTAGTTTTTCACTTGTCTTATCAATCCCTCATAAATACTTTATCTTTCACAGAAAAAAAACAGAAGTTTACAACAAAGTTTAAATCTTTTCCAAAGTGATGTTTGTCTTTTGCCACAAGGTGGCATTAGAGTGTCTCCGTCATCACTTGCATCAGTGAGTGAGCTTCATCCCAAGCACTCATTGTACCTCTCAAGGAAGGTAATAGACTGTATAGTTATCACCTGAGTAGGATTTACTCCATCCCACAAACTATACAACCTACTACCTCATCTTGCTAGGCTCAACTTCGAGCACCAATGAATATCCTTAAAAGCAAGCTTTGGTCATTGTGTATCAACTTTAGAAAATGTCTCAGTAGACCAGTTCCACCATTGTTTGTGGTAAACATGTAAAGTCTTTGTTGTGTCTGCAGTTGCATCTCCACAGGTGGGGGATGAGTTCTTTGTTAAATATTGTATTTACTCAGTCTTTGAGTTCCTTTAATCCGCGAAGCTTCCCTTGTGCACACAGCCTTCAGCATCACGGAAGATTATCCTGTTTCCTTCGGAAAGACAGTAGATTGTATAGTTATCTCAAAAGGAGGACATTAACCCCACAACTATTCAATCTACTACCTCAGCCTTAAGGACAGATAGTTTTGCAGGTAGCAGCGGAAGCTTGTTGGTCAAACTGTGAGACACAAATAAAGAGAGAGTTTTTAGATGTCAGTATTCACCTGGAACACAGTGATTGAGTAACAATTAACCTGCACAGAGGCTGTAAAGTACAGGTCTTATACCACAACTTGTCATTCCATCTAAGATGTTTTTCAAATGATTTCCTGTGACTGGTTCCACATTAAATGTAATTTTTGTACAACTACTAAAAAATGTACACACTTACCATTAAGTCACAACATTCAAATACAGCCCTGTTAAAACTGTTACCATGTCTGAGTAGCAGTCTGGTAACAGCTTTATCAAGGATTACGTTCTAGGATGGCTTCATCTTTAGACTCATTACACTGTAATCTGAGCTGTAAAATCAAGGCATGGTTCGTTGGAGTGCTAATGTGATTATGGAAGTGATATACTGTATCTGGCCACGTGCATATCATCAGTTTCTTAATAATGTGCACACCAAACTAAAAACTACACCTCTGTTGCCAGAGAAAGTGCAGCAATTTGTGCAGCCCTGCAAGGTAAAAATCACTGGCAAGAAATGTAGGGTGACAATGCCAAGAATTAGTCCCCATTTTACTCTAAAACTTGGCCTTTCCAGGTCGACTTCCAGACAGGCAGAGAAAAAAATTGTTCCGTTTAATCTCTTCTTTCTCCAGCTCTGTCCCTTCCATCCCTACTCCCAGAAAGTAATGCAAAGGAAAGGCTGACAAATAGAAAATGGCAGAACCTCAGCCATTTTATGAAGTTGTTTGGCACACATACCCAACATCTGTGGTGCAACCTGTGAACTGCCTCCTCCTTGGAATCCCTATCTATAAGCTCCACTCTTTATTTCCCTCATATACTGGCAGAGGGAACGTGAAGAGTAACTTAAGGGAATTGCTTGCTAGTGATACTCAAATGTAAAAATCCAGTTATTTTTGTTTTTTGCTCGACATCTTAACTAGTGGAACTTAAGGTCTGACTTCGGAAAAATGCCCTTTTTTGCTCAGTGTGAAAGCCACTTCAAGTCCATTGAAAACGAAGTCTGTTTACTGTGCCAGCTAGCGTCTGGGACACAAGCTGGGTAGAGCCATCCAAGTCCAGACAGAGCCCTGCTTTGGTGGAGTTGACTGAGCCCAGACACTGTTATGGTAGACGATGACGGTCAACTCATGCAAAAGGCTAGGATGCTTTGCATAAATTAGCATGTGAACCACGGTGGCTGAAAAGCGGCTGGGCTGTTCATTAACATTCTGAATTCCTCTTTGGCCCAATTAATGCCGGCGGTGATTGAAATGTTTTGGCAGCCTGCGTAGCTGCGGTGGCAGGGCATGCTTGCTGGGGCAGAATGAAAAGGCACTAAGGGCATCAGCGAGTGGGAGGCCTTAACTGAGATGCTGAATTAATTAGCCAATAAATGGTATCAAACACTTCTAAGTGGCTGGCCAATGCAAAGGGAAGGGAGTGACGGCAGGAATCAATTCAACTTTTAAGACAAGAAAAGTGGTGCATTACAAAGAGATTTGTTGTGGTGACAGACTGCTTTTGTGATTGCTAACTTCTGGAATAATTTATCGGCAGGACTGACCTTTGCTTATCCATCCAGTAATATTGGTTGGTTTGAAGATTGCTAAACTGCTGCCAGAACTTTAGAACTTCAATTCAAAAGCTACGCTTGAGGTAAGCGCTAATTTATCTCTCCTAAGAGTCCATGTAAGGGAGCCAAAGGTAGATTTGCTAACAAAGAACTACAGCAAATATTTCCTACACCTAGAAGTCACAATTTGACAGTCTGTCCACAAGCTGCCAATGAGAGTAAAATGGCTGCCCTGTTGTGGATACACAACTTTGATATGCGACTCCGTCACAACAATCAACATACCAATCAACACATCGCTGATGCGGACATTCGTTTTTGCTTCAGATAGGCATGCCCAGAGCTGCTCATCGTACAGAATATATTCAGCCTATTACAGATGTCCGTGTTGGCAAATCCTCAGTAGCCAAACAACTGAGTATTTAGTAAATGAATGCATCAAAAAATATACTCATTACAAACTGGCGATGGTCCACGATGATCGGCAGAATACGGGGGATGACTGTGAGGGAAAAGACTGAGGTTGGTTTCTCTTAATGCGGCTCTCTCCAGTATTTGGTGCCAAGAAATGGGCATTGTCTGCCTGCCAAGCTGAATCTCAATGAGACAAAAGTGGGTGATGTGGTGGATGCAGCATGGCAGAACCCATCACTGAGGTGGGGGTGGGGGGGAGGAGAATGTTGGCAGCCGAGCAATGAGAGGATGCCATGTCAGAGAGGGGGCATGATCCCACACAATAAGGTATGGTGGCGTAGCGTGCAGCCAGATGCTCAGTGCGGTGTCTGCACTGTAAGCTAGGTGTTCACACATGTGTAGAAAGGTCCATTGTTCCGTAAGCAGACTTTGTCCATATGTTGGACAAGTGCTTGTGCTTTGTAAGAGCCTGAGGTTTCAGTCTCATCATCTGTGATGCATCCTGATTTTGTTTAATAAACCCAGGTTGCAGGAGTTTAGATCCATCTGGTGAGCAGTAACACTCAATGTCTTCATGTCTTTATTTAGAACATCATTTCCAAATGACCCATGTCAGTGGAGCATCAAATAACTCAGCTATCCTCTGTGTTTCTTACAAGACATACTGGGTAACTGTGTTTATAAGAGTTTTTACAGTGGCTTTTCTGAAGTTTAATGATTCGGCGCAATACTTATGCTTAAAAAGAGAACCTGAATTAAAGATTTTCACATCCCAGCTTTTTTTTAACATACAGGTATAAAGCAGAACATAAATATCCCACGCTCAGGCCCACAAATCAATTCTGTTCTGAATTTCTTCTTTATTTTTTCGTACCTGTTTTGTGTCTTACTTTCTATTCTTTTTGGGGATTTCTTAAACTAAAGCTGCATTTTTCTTTAATATTTTGGTTAAGTGCTTTAAAGAAAACATTAAATGTATTGACTTCAGCAGATATTTTAATATTTTAAAATAATATCTCTTTGCTATTCAGGATGCGGTTTTCATATCTAAAATGTGAGCAACTGTTGTCTGGTCCACACCAGTGGTGCCCAATAGTTTTTGTTTGGGACCCATGAACACAGCCTACGTGACTCTCAGTGACAGGTTTTGTGACTAATTGTGTGTGGCAGAATTGAGTTTTCACTCAACTCTAACCCTGGTTAAGTTAGGTTACATTCTTGTAACCTCTGTGTGACACTTTGTAGGGATCTAGACCTCAGACTGTGGAAAGCATGATTAGATGTTCAGGATTTGGATTTTGAGTCTCGGGGCAAACCTCTAATAGAAGGGAATGACAACTGCCTATAAATGGCATTTGCCCTGATGCTCAGCACACTTGGTGTCTCTTTGATACTAAATCAGAGTTACCATGCCACTTATAAGATAACACTGACATGGTTGTTGAATCAAGGGCAATGAACCAATTTAAAGTACACCAACACAAAACATGGTGGCCGCTCACGAACATTGGAAATTATCTTAACCTTATGGCTGACAAAGTAAAACATTAAAAAAAAGAAATAAATAAATGGGACTGCTTGACTATTAACTAGTTAGACAAATTGTAGTTCTTTTGAAATTGCTGTTTGACAACATATTTTTTTGGGCCAATGATTGTATGTCTGATTTAATTTTCAATACATTCAACATGATGATATATAATTTGCTACTGTACAACTGTTAATGATTATTATTATGCTAATAACTGTCATTTTATTGTATTTTTATCAGAAGGGCAATACCTGTAGGTGTACTGATGGTGATTTTAAGGCTTGTTATTTTATGTGGCATTTTAGTAACACTCAAGTGGTAACCTGCAGGGCTTAAAAATGTAGCTGGCATGGAAGTACCAAAAACTGTAGTTCCTTGAATGGCCACTTGAAGCTGCTCCAAAAGCAAGTCAGTCTCCATAGACCTCTGTGTTAAAATGTTCAACTTTACAGCAGAATTGAACAAGTTTACAGCCTCGTACAGAAGCTGGTTTTGATGTCTATAGCTAACTTCCCCATTTATTTGGCAACTATACAGGATGAAACTTTTATGTAACTCACTCACTCAAATTTTACTATGGCTAAAAGTTGTGCCTCATTAAGTGCATGGCTACTTCAAGTGACACCTACATGCCATTGCTCATTTATGGATTAGTTGGGAGGAGTCAAGCCCTGCCACATTGGTGAAGGCTAGAGTCACCACGCTTAGTTTCAAAACCACTGTACATTAAATCTGTGGGTGTTGTCACAGAGTTTATGTCACACCTTGGAGTGAAAATTGAACAGATTAGCCTACAATATAATTTTAAGCCACTGCTAAGGCTGATGCATATTTTAAAAATGTTTTCATGTCAAGTAATTTAATGTGCCCAGCGTGGGTTTGTTTACCCCATGGATGTTTCATTTTATGAATAAGGCGAGAAGACTTATTTGTTTCGGGCTTTTTCTACACCTGCATGTCAAATCCATATTCTGCTGTACTTAGACTTAGTGAAGCATATCTTTAAATATACAAGTAGTGACAGCCTCAAGAGACCTGGGCAGGGGGAAAAAAAGTATTTGCAAGTACTTTTTAATGTTTGTTTTAGTCCAAGTTAGCAGCTTGATATTGGCACAGTGACTGTGTGAAAGATTAGATGATCACAGGACAGCGTTTTAATTATTGTCATATGTGGATCTGTCCTGTCATATGAAACCTGCCAATCCATTATTCCCCAAGGATTCAGACTAATACGAAGACACTGGCTGGCCATCCAAAGAGATTTCTCAGCTTTTGTTCTGAACTAGAATGGTTTCAAGTGGTCGTTTATATAAATCGACTGTCGTCGAAAGAGTTGGATCAAGTGCTGTTTATAGGGCACTAAACAGCTCAGCTAAAACGTGTGCAATGCAGTATGACCTGATAAAAACAGCAACCAGAAAGAGACTTTGATCCCGGTAACCACAGAGTCACTCCAACCGTGGGGAGGAGAGAAACACAAATAGCGGAGGATATGACTTTCCAAACAACATGTCATCAAGCAGCATAGCAAGTTCATCTGAGGAGAACCAGGGGGGGTTGAGGGGGGAAGTGGAGGAAATAAGTTCATTTTCTCCCTCCCTGCCCAGCCTCCCTGCGCCCTCCCACTTTTTTTTTCTTTTTTCTTCATTCACCCTTTCTGCACAGTGCTGTATGCAATAATCTGTTGTTATCACACACTCAGACGCAAACGCTGACTCGGCTGTATGCAAACAAAACCGCACACAACTGCACACCAAGTAACATATGTCAAAAATGTTTACAGTGTCGTTTTGTGAGTGTAGTCTGTAAAGTAAAACAGAGTTTTTTGTTTGTTTCTTGTACATTTCATGAATTTGAATAGTAATGTTTTCATAGCTTTTGTGGTTTAAAAACAAAAGAAAACAAAACACCAAACAAAACAAACCAAAAAGGCTTGATCTGAAACCGAGGCCCAGTAATCTCATAATGCAAGCCCCTTCATGTATAGAACAGTGCTTGCAACAGAGGGATCTGGTTCGTACTGGTTTTTGAACAGGTCTATCAAACAGCAGGATTCAGGAACACTTTAGGATTGATCCAGCCAGACTGTATGACATGGAAACCACATATTTTTCAGATTCTTATTCCACCCATGCGTGATATTTTGTCATTTTGTGGTAAATAAATGGTGACAGCAGCTGGGGGATATTTGATGTTGCCTCTGGTTGCAGATTTTGTGCACCTATGTAGCAATCCTGCAACTCCAAAATGCTTAATAACAAGGGTTAAATGTATTTTATCACAGGAATTTCCTGTTTGAAACTAGCGGTAATAATCTCTTTTGATGGGGTGAGGTAAGCTCCTTCAAACCACTGTAGTTGCAGTGTCTTTAGGCTGTTGACTTGTAAATTGTACCAAAAAATGTTGCATTTTACTGCAGTCTTGTTCTTTGAGGGGCAGTAGCGCCACCATAAAAATTTCTTTTTACTTCAGGCATGTGTTTTAATCAAACGGTGCAACGTAAACAAGCTTCTCATTACAGTAAACATGTACAAACGACAACAAACTGCATCATTTAAAACTAAACCCCAGTGTGTCTCGATGGAACAGAAACGGTGGAGATTTAGGCATTGTGTTCGGTGCAAGCAAAGGAGACACGTGTACAGTGTGGAAGGTGACAGCAAAAGAAATGTAAAAGTGCAGCAGACACGAATACAGGGAGATCTGAGTTTAAAAAAAGAGGAATATCAAGGCCCAAACAGAAGCAGAATCAAAAATGAGAAATACCTGAGTTTTTTTGTTAAGATCAGGCGAGTGTTCACCCGCAGACAATAAGGCCATGGTGGCGACGACAAAAAAAAAAAGAAAAAAAAGGCGGGTTAGAAAGGAGACGAGAATACATTTCCACATCCCTCTCTTTCGCCTGCAAGACGGGGGAAAGGCTGAGTAGTGTACCAGCAAGTAACCCCACTCGAACAGGGGCTGGGGCTTGAGAGCAGTTTTTGGGCCATGCCCTCCTCTCTCCCTGCCCACTTTTGCCCAGCTGCCAAGAGAGAGAGACAGCACGGAGAAAGGGAGGCAGGAAAAGACATCACAAAAGTCACCGATTTTTGCTTACATGCTCCCATTTAATATATGAAAATCCGCACGGAGAATGCATCAAAGTATACCGAATTGACCGAGCAAACTGGCCACATAAAGGGGAGCAGTCGTGAACTGTAGATTATGTGTCATCAAACAGACATCTCACTTGACTGTAGGATTAGTGGCTGGGAGGGGGAGAGAGAGAAACTCAGAGAAAGAGACAGAGAATTAAGCTTGGGTAAAAAAAATCAGAAGTGAGTACTTACATGCTGTCTTGTAAGAAAGCCAAAAGGTTTGACAGATTTATCTACAGTTGGCCAGACAATTCAGTGCCAGATAGTCCTGAAGCATTTCAGAGCAAATGAGTTAAAGGCTTGTCTCAGAGCCGTGCAGTAAAGCCTTTTGTCAGCAGTTGGCATCATTCCCAGGTAGTACATGCCTCACAGTTCCCATTTTCGGTTGTCACTCTGGACGTCTTTAGTTGTTCTGCACCTGCCTGTGTTTTTATTCGGATTTGTTGCACAGCAGAGAAGAGAATGTTCACCCCTGAGGTTCTGGTTTAATTTGGGTGTAGCTATGAATGGAAACCACTGCTTACTGTCAACACAACAGACTGAAGTAGTGGTCTGGGATGTCTACCACAATACATCTTCCAGTAACAAACTGTGTCAACAAGGGGCAACAGTGAGGGTCAGTCTCTAAAAACAGGCAAATCCAAAATAATGTTTTGTGACCGTCACCGTCATCGGAATGAAAATCACTCAGATAGTCCGATGTTTGAGTCCAGGATAGAGCCCAGTGCTTTAATGTTCAAGTGGGTCCATGCCACAGACAGTCATCAGTATCTTTCCTCAGGCAATATCCAAGACAGCTTCCTGTGTGACGTCACTGACTCTTCGTTTTTTAAGCAATTGTTTTTCTACTTTAAATCCTCTCTCTCGCTTTGCAGTCTTCTTCTTTCCAGAACATGTCAGTTGGTGATGCTGAAGAATTTTTGCATTGAATTAACAAAAAAAAAAAGAGCAAGCATGAGTCATTTTGTTGACATCTGAGGCAGGTCGAAGAAGAGGAGAGGAGAGGCGCTGCAAACCTCCCTTTACAAATCTTACTCTGTGTCTCTCTCTTCCTGCTCACGAACACTGAGCTTGTAAAAGTTTCAGCTGCAAGGATTTGGGCCAGCCTCCATTGGCACCGTTTCAAAAGAGCAGAGCCTGTTTCAGAAAAACGGAGGGGACAAGCCTGCGAGGGGAGTGCTGGCTTTTTGCACTCTTCTCCCGCCACCCTCTCTCTCTCTCTCTCCCTCTCTCCCCCTCCTTCTCTCTCTGGGGGACTCAGAGCAGTGACCGCTCTCAGGACTTTTACTGCCTGCTCACGGCGCAACATCAGCTCATGCCAGCTCAGTCCTTAAGACATCGGTTCATCTGTTTAGAGATCCACGGTAGTTTGGATAGCTCCAGATAGCCTGGTCTCAATCACACCCAGAGAATAGGAAACGCAAGCTGCAGCACTATTTCCTGGATACTGGGTCCTCCATTTCAGATGTGTGTCAAACTCTCACGAGGCTCAGCACTGCTTGTGCTACAGTTCACACAAGCTTCTGGCTGCTTTGCCCCCCTTTTTTTCTTGCTCCGATAATGCGCTCTATCATCGGAGGTGTGTAAGTAGGTTTATGTTCAGACGTGTGAAAATAACACAGTAACCTAAACTTCAGTTGTATTTTTCTCAGTGTAAGCTCCCGCTCCTACAGTTCACTTCCTTTATTGTATGTACATGTGCTGTCGGAGTTCACTGAAGACTGTGTACTTCATTCTCCTGATTTTATTATATTTTACCGTATATACACTGGAACCACACTACAAATGTCCAGAATTATTCAACTTTCTGAGCTCTCCCCTGCTGCACTCAGAGCTGGAAACTTGTCCACTTGTGTTATCTGCACTCCAGTAACACATGTAGCCTTGACACAGCTATCAGTGCAATGGAAAGGTTGTAAAGATCGGATCACCTACTGTAAGCTGTAAAAATGATGCAACAGTTGTTTCTTATCAGAGGTTGTAAAAACACATTTACAGTGTCCAGCATACTGTACAAGCAGGCAGCTGCCAAAAACACTCCTATGTTAGAATGTTTTCCAATAATTTGATCCTAAAGCCGCATCATAGCAAGTCTGAAATAATCAAAACCTGAAAACAGTAGATCATAGATCTCAAATATACTCCGATTATGCCCTGAAACAAGTGTACCAGTCTTACATGAATGATCATCAGTTGCACTTCTGCTTAGTATTTTGCGTGCACGTGTTCACTATGTATGAGTCGTACATTTACCTACAATTGTGTGTGCATCTGCAGTTATGTTTTTCTATTTTTGAAGATTTAGTTGGCACCAGTGTTTGCCCATCGTGTCATCACCTGCTGACCCTGCATTGTGTGCATCATAGTGTATTTCAATAGGTCCACCTCCAACTTCTCCCTCTCTTATGGGTCAGTAAGTTCAAATGATGTACTGTGTGTTGCAAAGCAAACTTGATATCTTAGCTCCCGAGAAAGCAGCACAAAATTCTGATACAGCGCAGGTATATGATGCAGGGATGTGGGACCATCAGAACAGATTACATTACTGATAAGGTTTCAATTTGGAAAATGTTTTGGTCTGTGGGTCCACTGGTCTGTTTTGGACTTAACAATTACAGCAACCAAAAACTTCAGTGGAGCTGCTCATAGTTCTTTCCACTCAGAATGAATCTTAAACATTTTTGTTATCCTCTGAGTTTCCATCTAGTGCTACCCAAATTAAAGTGTTCATTAACATCTCTGTTTGTGAGTGATAATCTTTCATATACATTCCCATATAATTGTCAGTCTCTGTGTTATGAAATTGATGCTTGCACAGAACACAACAGTAACAGGAAATACTAGTATGTAAACATCCACTTGGTATCTATAGCTTCAATGGACTTTCTCACTTTATACAGTTGTGCATACACTTACAAAGAAATGTAGATTTTTGATCAACTTAACTAAGAAATAATAAATGCATCTCATCACTTTTTTGTTATGCAAATGGTATTGCCAGGATTTGCTTCACATCATTTCTTTTCTGCAGACTTTACCTCTGAAATGGATCACTTTTAGCGTTGCTAGCTTTGGTGTGCTGTCAACACTTGTGTGCCTGTAAACACACATTACAAATATGGGGTATGAAACAGGATGTGTTTTTGAATCATGCAGGGTGAGTTTGAGTTTAAATCCGTTTTCAATCCAAGGGACTATTTTTTGCTACTGCATAGCATCTTTTTCCATTTATAAAGAATAGAAGAGACCTCCTGCCATTGTCCTGTTTTGTACCCTTCCACCTTTCTTAAACAATCCCCTCCTTTGGGGATATATTCATTTAACCCAGATTTTCCTGTTTTGTCTTCATTGTTTGTGCTTCCTGAGATATGGGCCCTCTCTGAGTTGATGATTCACCCGGCTTTACAGTGCCATCAGGTTCACGTCCTCACCAACGTGCTGTTTCAGCACTAAACCCATGAGTGAACTAAAATATCATCATCATACCCCCTCCTCAAACACAGGTCACTGCCAATGGAAGCTCTACCTTTATGTATTTAACATAATTCTTCCTGGCTTAGTGTTTGCACAACTGCTTTGAATGGTCCCCATTTCACCATAACTTTGATTAATGTGTTTTCATTTCATTCAGGCTTGTTGTTACAGTTGTTGGTATAGTAAGAGCTGGTTTTACAGCCGCTCTGGTATACTCTGTTACGCTGCTTCTCATTGCTTCCACAATGTTTACCATCTTACTCGCAGTAATAAAACACAACTGACATGAGAATGGGTTGGAGTTGGTGAGAAACCCACTGTGGTTTCTGTCTCTTTAAGATTGTGATGGCTCCTCTGCTGCTCCCTTGAGGTCACTGGCCTTCCTTAGGCGTCCTGCCAGCTGCCATGTTACTGTCAAGCATTTGCAGAAATGCCAGCAAAGCCATTAGTCTAGACTCTTTTCAGCAGTCAGCAGACTGGACAGCGTGAGCGGCACGGCGATGCAGAGGGACAAAGGGCCTGGCCTTATAAAACTACACAACCCATTGCTTTTCCTTCTTTATTTCCCATCACGTGTCATTGTTCGATTCAGCTGTGGTTGCTCTCCTCCCGTCTCCTCTGCGCACTCTCAGGCTTCAGCCACATAATACATGGATGTATGAGGATGTAGAAAACATCCTTTTAGATGGACAAGTATGCTTTCAACTGTTAAACACTTCTTTTACTATTACAGTTGTGGTTGAATCAGTCATTAAAAAAATAGTTAGAATAGTTGGGGTCAGCAACATTACAGTATCTCCATGTGCCCCCTGGTGCCTCACAGATGCTGAATGCTTTGTTTTTTGTCTCTTGGGGTACAGCAGCATCTGGTGGCTGACTGAGGAAATCACACTTTGTTTTCAATATTGACACTTCTTTTTTAACCTCCACTGGTTAAGTGACTGGTTACTTGCCATCGTTCACTACACACTTGCATTCAAGTCCAATACAGAGCACTGAGCATCCATTAGAGAAAATGTTGGATAGATTGCCAGAGGCATTTTACTTATCAGTGTCAAGGTGAAGAGTGCTGCTTTTTTAAAAATGTATTTCCCCTTCCTACCTGGAATTTTCCTGCTGGAGTTGAAAACCAGAGGGCCTCTGGATTACAATCCACCATCTCTAGCTTCAAGACTCGAGTTGCTCCCACACTTGTAATCTGCTGTCCTGATGCAGTTACACAACTCAAACTACACTTTATTTGTTTGAACTGAGTCTATTTTACTTTAGCCTCGCACAAAAGTCACATTTTTGTTTCATGGAAAGCTCCGCAGCTTATTTATGAAAAAAAACAACTAAAAATGCTCGCAGATGGTGAATAGCTGATTAGTGTAATCCCAGTTGGAGGCTCAGTCCATCCTGGTTGTGTGGTAGTCAATGGGGGGACCTGTTGCTTTGTTGAAAATCCTCTTAGAGGAAGGGTCATATGACCCCTCTATGGGCATCAGGGTGTTTATGGAGCCTTGTGGGCATTTGCGAGCTGGATGGAGACAGTCACATTTCTTTCTGCACCACCTATCTGGTGAATAAATTAGCACCTTTTATTGGTTATACAGTTATACCATAACGTACAGGTTTAAATTCAGGTGGTCAAAATCTGGATGTAACCTCTCTCCACATCACCCATGCCTCTCCACAATCACACCGTCAAAGAGGCCTGGACAGATGACAGGTACAGTATGTCAATGCTGCCACACACCAGTGTACAACTTTGTAAATGTATTTGCCATGTAAGCAGTCATATGTGTCAGGTGTCCTCCTCGTGCCTGCCATTAGTCCGACCTGATACTTTGTGGTTTTCTGAATGGTTATTAGTGCTATACCACACCCACTTTCCACTGCTACTAGCCAAGTGGTGTTAAACCCATTAGTTGCAAAGGAAAGCTTAATTTGTTTCTGTCAGGCAGACCTGCTTAGGCCCAGTTCTCATTCCCTGTGTGACCTGTTATTACAAAAATGGTACTTTGCACCACAGAGCTTGCTGGCTATAGAACCAGCTTGGTTATATTTTGTAAACGTCTTGTAAGCAAAAAGGCCCAAGACTTTCTGGTTTTAGATTCTTCTTCCACTGGTTTTCTTGCATGATGTTAAACTAAATATCTTTGGGTCTTGGACTACTTGTCTCATGGAAATTGGAACACACTATTCCCTATTCCAGCCCTATTCCAGTCAACACATCTAAAAGTAAGTGATTCAGGTAGCAAAATGACAGCCTGAATCTTTTAGATTAAAAGGAAGGTTTTATTGAGAGGTCGTCATTGTGTTTATGACAGTTACTTTTCATTGTTTTTGCCCAGGACACAAGAGGAGGAAGGTTCTGTTTCTGGTTGTGACCCACAGCTGCAGGTAAATAAAAGACAGCGAGCAATGATGAGCCTGACTGTCAGGCCTTAACATTGGAGTGGGTTTAAAGGAAGGAAATTAGGGGCATCATCTTGTAAGAGCCATGCTGAAGTTGGCACTGGCACAAGAACCCTGCAAACCAAAATTTGTTTTAGCTCCCTGAATAGTGGACACATGACAAACAAGTCTTCTCCCTCCTCCCAAGCATTTGTGGTTTCTCCCGTTGACGTGTTTCTGCAGAGCAGATGGCTTTACGCATAAATCCTATTAACAACTTTCTGCTGATGGAGACGCAGTGAGTACAGGGCTTTCTCACTCTTTCATTATCTTTCTTGAGAGGCCTACTTTTTTTTTATTTTCTAACCTCTAAAAAGAAGCAGAGCTGAATTTGGAGGCCACGGAATGTCTGGAGAGAAGGTAAAAGGGTCAGGTTGTGGTTTTGTGTGGTTTTGTTGTTTTGTTTTTTTTTAGTTTAAATTAATTCTCAAGCAACTTCTTTTATAATTGTTTATTCAACTGCTTGGCTATTACATGCTGTTATACTTGTGGAGTTGAATCTAAGGGATCTGACAAATTATTTTTATAGGAGTTATCAACACGATTATTTCTGGTTAGCCTGCCTCTGCAAAGTTGAGGAGATGTTGCTCTATGTAAATGAAATTGAAATTAAATTTGGATTTAAATTTAAGAAGAAAGAATATTTAAAATTATGTAGCTTATGTTGGAAATAATCTCTGACCCACATGTGAGAGATCTGCTCTGTATACAGATACCACTGTGGCAGGTATACCATAGGAATGACCCAGGTTATCCAACCGGTGCAATATTCATACATGACTTCAAAAGTAAAAACTCATCCGAGTATGCACCTTTACATTTACATTAACTGCATCTCAATTATTATGTCCAGGTTTATGGAGCTCTCTGCCTAGCAATACATCTGCAAAGGCATGCATGAGGGATTGAAGGCAGTCAGTAATCCCGCCATCCAAACCACTTATAGTGCTACTGTAGTGGCATCCAAACCAAAGACAACAAAATTTCCTTCATTACGTTATTTTCTACTTAAAGGCCTTCTCTAGTTATGTCTTTTCTAAAAGTGCATATTTCAACAATTTATTTTATTTTATTTTATTTTATTTTTTTTTAGCTTAGTAGTCAAGCAAATCTTGCATCATCAGATATGGACTAAGTCAAACTCTTTGTTCCTTTTCCACAATATTTTGGATCATAAGTTCATGAATCTTTTTGGTTGTATGCAAATTTCTTCAGTCAGTTGCAGGAATAATGCAATATATGAGTCAGGTTGTCCAGGATTGCCCTAAAGTTTTTCATTTTTATCAAAGTATATGTTTTGATCAGAGTATAAACCAACCGTTTGAAAATATCATGTGGCAATAACAAGACATTTATTCACTCTTTAGGATTTGATTACAGTGGGCAACATTTTTTAAGATTTTATTGGTAAACAAGACTGCTGCTACAGTCGACAGATACAAAGGACAAATAGGGTCATTTGGGTGAAGGGTAAAATGACATTGCACAGCTTAGATGCATCAATTCATCCCAATATGACGAATGTTAACTCTGCTGCCATTGCTCTGAGTTGTGGATTTTCCGTGGACACAAATAGGCCTCCATCGATGCAGGATCTTCATCTAATAGGATTACCTTTACTGTCTCCGCTGTCCGCAATCACACTGACCTTATTCGCTGCGACTCGGGACGGTGACACGTTGTTCCTGTTGGTGGGTGATAAGGTTTAGTCCTCTGACTTCACACGCTTATGAAATCTTTGGTAAAAACTGAAGTGAATACTCTTTCTACTTATTATAATATGAAAATATTAAACCGTAAATATAATTATTAAACTAAATATTAAACTTGTTTGACAGTTACGGCATAAGAAAATAACCAGTCAAATTTTTCTAAGAACACATAAATGGATATTGTGGGGGAGGACTGAGGATCAGGGTTTGAGCCCCCTTTTGACTTTTGAAACCCCTCATAGAATCTTATGTTGACGGTATTAAAAAAGAAAACAGCAAATGAATGAGTTATGAAGAATTATATTAACATGAAATATGAATAAAATGCATGAGGATTTATATTTCAACATCAGACTAGAGAGAGCCACTATCTGTACGAAATTGACGTTCAAGCGCTCTCCTACTTCCACTTACCTTTAGGCTCTTATTATGTTGCCTTTGAGGTTCTCAGCAGGTTTGATTTTTTTTTTTTCTGAAAGAGCTGCTATATCCAGAAATACCCCACAAGTACCAGCAAAACTAATATTTGATGTATGGTAATATGATTTAGATGCTTTTATTTTAAGTGTCTTGGTGCTCAGGAGGGGGCCTGGCCCGGTTACATAAAAGGGTTACCAAACTTGTTTGGTTCTTTTCTCTTTTTTTGTGTGTGTGGCTGTGAGTGAATGTTACAAAACTGTGCTATCAAAAATAGCAATAGATTATTCAAGTTTAGACAACGCAGGTTTTAAAAGCATTATATCACTATTAACTCACGCAATGTGTGTTAAGCCTGAATTCTTAAAGTCAAATCATTTATACGAAGCAGTAACATCACATCCTACATGCCAGAAGTCAATTACGACATTTGTGACTGTCTGCACTAATGCAAAAATTAAATACAATTTAATGTGAATAATTTCACTTAAAATTAAATAAAACTAATAACAAGTGAAGTAGTAATGATGATGTAAATCTCTTGACCTTCATTTTCTTTTCTCTCTTCCCACCTCCTGCTTCTCCTCACATGCCAATGGTAAGCTGTTCTATATAATTATCTTGTTGCTCTGATGAAATCTATCAAGATATTTTTTTCTGTCTCACAATTTTCATATGTTTCGATTGTGATCATTGTTACTTCTCCTCCCTCCACAAGTCCCACCTCTAATCTCTCTTTTATCTTACAGGAAAATTCATAGAAGCTGAAAAAGAAGAAAGAGGAGTCCAATGGCACGACAGAAGCCAAGTTAAATGGAACTGAGGCCAAACCGAAAAAACCAAAGACCAAGAAGAGTGAAGATGTAGTCGAAGAGGACAGTTCTGCCATTCAAAGTGAGAAACTTCAAAGAGACTGTGACATTACAAGCATTTATCACAGAGAAAGCAGATGAGAAACTGTGATATTTTGAATGTCTCTCTTGAGCTGACTGTCTTTGCTGAGATCTAACCACAGTGGTTGCACGTTTGTTTTCATATCAACATTGCAGATGGAAAGAAAGTGAAGAAAAAGAAACCAGAAAAAGACAAAGAAGAACCAGAAAAAGAAAAAGAGAAAGAGCCAAAAAAGAAAACCAAAAGTGCTCCGAAGAAGAAGAAAGGTGATGCATTGATGACTGTGTAATATTGCATACTCTTATTTTGAAGGTAAATATGGTCTAATGAATATGCTTTCCATGACTGCAGGTTCAGACACAGATGACGACGATGATGACGACGATGAAGAGGACACCCCCAAAAAGAAAACTAAGAAAAAAACAACAAAGGACAGCTCTCCGTCTGCGACTTCTGCCAAAGAAAAAAAATCTAAATCTAAAGGTATGACCAGACTGTAGTTAAGAGGATTAGAATATTTTATTGTGTAATGGTGATTTGGCAGCACAGGCAACAAAACACAACAGTTAATTGAGTCGGTTGTCCATAAGAAGCTCACTGTGGAAAATGTCATTAAGATATTACAATGGCTGAATTTGAACAGTTGTGTTATAAAAGTCAGTCACTCAACGTTTTAGCCTCTTTAGCCTTGTGTAACACTTTTACTTTGCAGGTCTCATAAGTTGTGTCAGAGACAAATATGTTTTCCCAAACTGTAGAACACATTCTCATTGAAACTGAAGTGAATGGGAGATGTGTGGGCAGGCTTTCTAACAGTCTTATGTAGGCATAGACAGGATAATCCTAACATTGCATGAGGTGTGACTATGAGTGTGCGTGTGACTAGAGATATCTGTCTGAAACGAACAAAGATTAGATACTGGAAAAGGAAGGAAGAGGAGAAGAGAGTCGAGGTGCAACACATCCTGCAGCTGCTAATTATCAGAAATACCTTACTGCCAAGCAGGGAAGTAGGTCACAGCACCTTCACTGTTGGAAAACTTGTGGCCTAAGGATGACCTCTTGAGCTAAAACATTGAGTTACGCAAATGCACTGTAGGCATATGTATATGTTCTTGCAAACAAAGTTAGCAAGTTATAGCAAGACAATAAACTTCCATTACACCACGAGGATGTGGGTATCTTTAGCCCTTCTTACAGCATGGCTTTAGTAGTTGCGCTGTGGGTCAGTCGGTCTTTCTGCCACTGTGATCCAGACGGAAATAACCCAACAGCTAATGAACGTATGGCAGTGAAATACAGAACAGATATTCATGGTTCCAAGAGGATGAGGTGATGACTTTGGTAATCGTTTGACTTTTTCCTCCAGCAATTGTGTGCCTATTCTGTGATACATCTTAATATCTGCATTATTTTTTGTTTAATTTTACTTTGTACAGACATTCATGGTTTCCAGATGATGAACCACAAGTTTGCATTTTTTTGGTTTTTAATCCTCAACCTCTATGCTTGGATTGCAATGAAAGTTGGTTTCATGTGCCCTTGAGGCTGAACTTCTAACTTTGCTGATACTTGAACTTTTCATGTGGTGTCATTATCAGATCAAAATCTCATTTGGTCCAATAATACCATCATAGATAAGATAAGATAAGATAAGATAAGATAAACCTTTAATAATCCCACTGTGGGGACATTTGCAGTGTTACGGCAGCAAAAACAGTGCAACCTTTTAAGGAATGTGACATGTATATATGTACACACACACACACACACACACACACACAAGTACTAATTCTAAAAGTAACATTATTGCATGCATCATTTGTATTGCACTTATTTGATAAATAGAAATACTGATAGAGTATTAGTATTGCACAAATTAGCACAGATTAACTAAATAGCATATTTTCTAGTATATGAAGAAAAATAGATATAACACAGGGTTTTTAGAATACAAAAATAGAAATCATTCACAGAATGTGTTGATATTGTACCAAAGAGAAATATGACAGTTTTTCGATCTCCTGGGAACAGTGCCGGTTGTAAAGTCTAACAGCAGCAGTAAGGAAGGACCTGCGGCATCTGTCAATCAGTGGTGTAAATGTCTGCAGAACCAGTACAGTTACCATCAGCCTTGGGTGTACTTTGTGTTTAGTACCAATCAATAAAGTGTTAGTGCATACTAAAATGCTAAAATGAGATGGTAAACATGGTTAACATTAATCTTAGCATGTTAGCCCTGTCACTGTGGACATGCTTTCATGTCAGGATAAATGTTTTGCACAAGTAAAGCCTCATAAAGCAATCAGCACAGCTGTAGACTCTGTTTTTTTGGGTTTTTTTGCAAGCATCCACTTACCTACTGCTAATGATCCTCTCAGGAGTTCTCGTTAACACTTAATAGCACTAATGCTACTAATTATTTCTTTCATAAAACTCTGACTCAATGTGCAGAATTACAACTTTTGATGTCACTCATTTTTCTTCTGACTGGACCCTGAAGGAAGTATCAGTCAGTTTGAAAATGAATAGAAATATCAGCTCAGTATTGAAATACCACCTGATATAAACCAGTGTTGTGACTCATTTCTTTTGTTGTGGTTGGATAATTCCCAGTTTTCTCGACTTTGAGCTTGACCTTCCTCCATCTCAGATCTGCAGTCAGTCATTTTGGTTAAACCTGTGCTAACTTGTCTTTGTGGCTGCGTGATGTTCCTGTAAAGTAAAGGAAAGCAATGTGCTCTGTTTATGGTAACCTCTTAAATATCCAATCAACATACTTTATGTTCTGAGGTCTGAGAATATGGTTTGATAGCTGTTTCATATATGTTGCATTAGAACAATATCAGCCTTTACCTGTTGTGAAATCATTGTTTTTTATTTTTATTTCACTGCTCTTCAGGTGTAGCCGTAAATCACAGAGAAAGACTTTGTTCAAGAAAGACTCACAGTGGTGTCCACATCTGTAAAAGCTTGATCATAACAAAAGTTTGAGTTTGCATTGAGTTAATATTTCACTGCTTGTCCAGCTTTTGTGCACTCTAGCTTTAGCACATCTGAAACATAAAGCAGCTACGCATATAGCTGTGTTAATTCATTACTATTGTCAGGATGCAGTGTAAGCATGACTTCATCTGAACTCATTTTTACAACTGTGGACTGGATGTTTTGCTGCCTATTTTGTTTTCTGCATTGCAAAATGTACACGTCAAATGTGCACTACAAGTTTTGTTACAGTTTACAACATGTGGCTTTTGGTCTTTTCAACCTATTGAAATATTTTTTATTTATTTATTGATTTTTTTAAAATTTTTTTAAAGCAGCTCGAAAAAATATTTGTACATTAGTAATCAATCGCACTGCTTGCTGTGAAAAGGGTCACTTAGACTGTTTTACCCAGAAGGAACTATCACCAGACTCCTCAGTTTAACTCTACAGAGCATTTCATCATCTTTCACCTTATTATTGTGGCTTTTCTTGTCTGCAGCTTTATAGTTTTGTTTGCGTAATGTTGGTTTCAGCTGCAACAAGAAAAACAGCTCTAAAACCGAGTGTACGCTGTCTACCGCTAACAGCAGGCACAATTAGGAACTAGCTGGTGAACATAAGGGAAAATTTAGCAACTGGAGAGCCAGATTTTTCTCTCAGCATTCAGGACAAAGCTAAAAGAAGAGTGCAGATGGCCAGAAACTTAAGTCCAAGTGAATGCTTGTGATGCTTTTCGGTGCACTCATTCTCATTTATTCATAAAGGAGGTCATTTAGTGTTTTAAATCTATATTTGCGGTGTGTATTTAAATATCGAACGGTTTGGTGAAGAAATATCGTAGTCGACATTTAGACAAACCAGTTAAAGTAGGTTTTATCAATTCTATCAATGCAAGTGTTTACCTTAGATGCTGTTTACCCGCGTGCTTCCAATCCTTCAAGTTCATTACTGCCAAAAACAGGCAGGGAGCACAAACAGCTTTGAAAAGCCATTAGTCAGCAAGTCTAGATGTGAGGGCACGTTGGGACAGATTCGGCAATGTGGGACAAGTTTTCAATGCAAGCGTTGACAGTATTGTGAGTGTAATCGAGGTTTTGCGGACGCAAGACTTGTGCCACTAATTTGAGCGAGGAATTCAGGGTCCATTACCTCGTTATCTTCCAGCAGCCTGGATTCTTTTGCACAGAAGCTTTAACTGAGAGCAGAAATACTTTATATGTGTTTAATGTCAGTCTGCTTTCCAAAGTGCCTCATCATCTTTTTCCGTCGTCCAAAAGAAACTGTCAAAGGTATAATTCTAATTTCTAAAAAAAAAAAAAACATCTGTCTCAATTAAGCTTGATTGCCTCTCACATTTACAAGTTGTCAGAAACTGACAAAACGACTGGAAGAAACAGCGAGAGCAGATTTAAAACTGAGTGCGCACAAAATCAAGAGTGCCTGCTCAAAATTAGTTCTGCTGCTGCACATCTGCCCCACTCTCAAGTCCTTGCTGGCTCATTGATTACAGTTTGGATTTGTTTGGCAGTCACCCCACACTGCTCTCCAAGTTGTCTGCCTACTACAGAAAGGAATGAGATTTACATTATTTGCCTTTGGAAAAAAAAAGGGCTGCATTCCTCAGTGTGGGCTTACGCAATTCTACAGTTTTGCACATTCAAGGGCAGATAACATTTTTTAAATTCTACTTGTCTTTCATTTTTCAGAGGACAAAGATTCTGATGGAAAAGAAAAAAAATCCAAGTCAAAGGAAAAAGACAAGAAGAAAGAACCGGCATCGATGTTCCAGATAAATGGAGAAAAAGAGTCTAAAAGCAAAAAGAAAGGTGATTACATTTTTTGTCATTTAAACTTTTTCGTCTGCTCTCCTAGCTGCAAATGACACCTCACACCTTTAGATTTACCGAACAGCATGCAACTTGATGCTGAAATATGAACATGCGGACTTTATTACAGACAATAACGGCTCAGGAAGCTTAGTTTATGTAAATGTCTGAAATTCAACTAAAACTCTTTACATCTGTTTATTGAGCAGCTGCCAAATCAGACAGTGACGACAGTGAAGAGGAGACAAAATCAACTAAATCAAAGAAGAAATCCACTGCTGGTTCTGCATCCATGTTCCAAGCATCGGCAGATAAAGACAAAGATAAGAAGACAAAGAAAAAAGGTGAGTTTACCACTTAACTTCCCCAACAGTTTCAGTCAACAACAATCATGTAACAAATCTTTTGTGCACTTCAGCAAAGGCAGAAGAGAGTGACGATTCTGAGTCAGAAAAAGAAGAGAAATCTAAGAAGAAGAAGGGCAAAGGAAAAAAGAAAAAGGCAAGAAACATTTTTAATCACATTGCGTCATGTTAGACACACAAGAAAACATTTAGAGTGAACCATGAAACAAAACGTGTTTGCTGTTCTTGACCAGGAGAGATCTCCCTCGCCTGAGATTGAGTTCGACAACTTGGAGAAGTTTGTGATGCAGCCGGCTCCGCAGGGTGTGACTGTCAAATGCAGAGTGACTCGGGACCAGAGGGGGATGGATAAGAGCCTCTACCCTACATACTACCTGCATCTAGATAATGAAAAGAAGGCCAGTAATATTAACAATATTATGCACCAACTAGCAGCCCGATTTAGAAACAACATACAACAGCAGACCTGTCAGTAGTTCATTCAATTATTAGAATTCAATGATAATTGATAGTTTGATAGTTTTAGACTGTTTTCTTTCTCTTTTTTTTCTGTGTAGACATTTCTGTTGGCAGGGAGGAAAAGAAAGAAAAGCACAACTTCAAATTACCTCATCTCCATTGATGCCACAGATCTGTCAAGAGGTGGAGAGAATTTCGTCGGAAAGCTGAGGTACTTTGCACTTTTCATCCAAAAGCAGGACGCAAAATACGATCAATCATAAAAAGTATTAATTTTCTGCAGTTTTAATTGAATGTATTATTTTCTACATTGCACAGGTCAAATTTAATGGGGACTAAGTTCACTGTATTTGACAACGCTCTGAATCCAGAAAGAGCACTTCCAGACATGTCTAATGCACGGCAAGAGTTAGCAGGCATCATCTATGTAAGTAGCACATACCTGCAGTGCATTTCACTCGTGCACTTGCCTTAAAAACAGAAGTGGAAAATGTAAAAGTTCTGATTTTGCTTATATCTGGCTTCAGGAAACAAACGTTTTAGGAATGAAAGGGCCCAGAAGGATGACAGTCCTCATCCCAGGAATGGACAAGAACAACGATCGAGTGCCAGTCCGACCGAGAAATGTAAATACATCAAAAATAGAATAACAGAAAATACCACGTCCTCATGCATACAGTCTTATAACAAAGTTTGTGCAACCATGAGCAAAGCCCTTATTTTATAAGGTTTTAAAATAAACAGAAGAAAATACAACCCTACAGAAGAAGAATGAAACTTCAAATGTTTCTTTTTTTATTTTACAAACTTTAAAAGTAGAGAGCATTTTGAGACATAGCAACATTTGTGGATAGCTGAAACTATTTGTAAAGTCTCCAAACTTTATTTAGTAATACTATAATTGTCAGTGTCTGCCCCCTAAAATCTTAGAAAAAGTCAACTATGGGCGCCTGTAAGTTACAGAGAGAAAATGAAGCTAGCTGAGGCCTGTAAAGCAAGAGAGAGAGATATAGAAAGATATCAGATAAAGATATTTAGAAAGATATTTCCACTGAGTTTTCACTAAGAATTTGCAGTTAAGTGGACCTATGAAAGTCAAAGACAAGATCTGGAAGACAAAGGAGACCTTCAGATAAATCTGCATGTAAGATTGCAAGTGGTGATGCACAAATCCCATTGTGCGTTGCTGATGCACAAACAGGGTCTACACAGAAGAAAAGCGAATCCACAACTTCATCGCAAAGGTCAGTGTCTGAAGTCTGCAAAGAAACATCTGGAGTCATTCTGGGATCAAGTGTTGCAGATTGATAAAGTTAGAAGTGGACTCTTGGGCCACAATCACGAAAGGTATGTTTGAAGAAAAAATGGGGCAGCACTGGATGAAAGGAGCACCTTGCCAGCTGTTAAGCATGGTGGTGTAAATATCCTGCTTTGAGGTTGTGTGGCAGCCAGTGGCACGGATAAAGAGAATCATGGATTCCACTAAGTATCAGCAAATTCTGGATTGTGGTGCCATGCAGGCGGTTAAGAAACTGAATCTGGAAAGAGACTGGCTTCTACATCGGGGCAAAGATTCAAAGCAGACGATAAAATCCACCATAAACTACTTCAAGAAACACAAGCAGAAGCTTTTGGAGTGGACCTCACGGAAATATCCCAGAACTTGAAGTGATTTACAAGTTAGAGTCAAGAACAGAAAGCGTCTCAGTTGGCTACAAAGTGCATTTGAAAGCTATGACAGCTGCTTAATTCAGTAATTACTTATTAACCATCAAACAGCTTTCTTATTGTTGAGGTAATGGATTAAAATGTTACAGTGCATTACATTTGAACAATACATTTTTCATTGTATCTGTGTTATACATAATAAGAGGGGCTTTGCCTCTGTTCAGAGTTACTCTCCAAGTTTTTAAAGTGAAAGAGTAGGAAGTATGTCCTTAGAAATACACAGTTCACAAGTTAGTCCTCCACAAAACAAGATTTCCATAATGCTCACAGCTTGATCTGTTTGTTATAAGAGCAGCTCGAGGCCAGTGTGCAAAATCATATTACTTCTTGTTGATATTCACTGACAAATGTTTTCTGAATTCCTTGCAGGATTGTGACGGCTTGTTGATAAGGCATCAGAACAGAAGGATGGAGAATCTAATCGAGCTTCACAACAAGACGCCTGTTTGGAATGAAGAAACTGCGTCCCATGTGCTGAACTTCAACGGCAGGGTCACCCAGGCCTCCATCAAGAACTTCCAGATAGTCCATACCAAAGACTGTGAGTACTGTTTACGCATCTTTCAATTCAGGCAAGCACTGCTGTTTGTTCACAACTACATGTTAATGTATTGGACAAGGAAATACGCAGCAAGTAACTGGCAAGATATAAAGAAATAGGTAGTAAAGATGTACGGTTAGTTAGATGTACTTTCGCTTTAGTTTTATCTGACAACAATGATGAGATTTAGATTGATAAATAGATAATGACCAAACATTTTTATAACATTTTGACATCATCAAGATAATAGACATTTAGGACTCATTATCAAGGTATTCATCAATAGGAACTCCTAATTTTATCATTATTTGCACAATTCTTGGCTCCAGTTTTTGAAAAACAAACAACAAACTTGGAGGTTTTCCTCTTTTACTGCTATTCAACATTAAATCATTTTCAGTTTAAGAATGTACAATTAAAAGTGTATTATATAAAATAAGTGATTGCATAAGTATTAACCCTCTTCCAGCCAGTATTTAATAGAGGAACCTTTGGCTGTCATTGCAGAATTAGGCCTGTAAGGATAGAACTCAACCAGCTTGGCATTTCAAGACACTGCAATTTTACTCCTTACTTTTTTGCAAACCTGCGCAAGCACTGTCCAGTTACACAGGGATCATTAGTAAACGGTCCTTGAAAGCAAATCTTCTCCCAAGTCGTAGTTCTCTTGCAGACTGCATCAGGTTTTTGCCCAGGATTTTCCCGTACTTTGCTTTTTCAATTTTACCCTTTACCTTTACAAGCCTTCTAGGACCTGCTACTGAGAAGCACATCTTGATGCTGCCACCACCATGCTTCACAATAGGGATGGCATTTCAGTCATGACATGGTGTGTTTGTCATGATGTGCAGTGTTCAGTCTCTACCAAACATAGCGTTGATTCTGATTGCCAGAAAGCTCAATCTTGTTTTCATTTGCTCTAACAACATTCTTCCACTTAACCTCAGCCTACCACATGCTTTATCGAGAACTCTAGTCGAGTTTTAGTGTAAGCTTTTTTCGGCAGTGGCTTTCTCTTCGCCGCTCTCCCATAAAGTTTTCACTGGTGAAGAACAAGCAACAATTGTTGTAAAAACAGCCTCTCCCATCTCAGCTGCTGAAGCTTGGAGCTTCTTCAGAGGAGTCATAGGAGTCTTGGTGGCCTCCCTCACTCGTCTCTTTCTTGCATGGTCACTAGTTTTTGAGGAAGGACTGCTCTTGGCATATTTAAACATGTACCATACACCTTTCATTTCTTAATGATGGATTTAACTGTACTTCAAGGGGTATTCATTTACTTGGACATTTTCTTGTTTCCATCCCCTGACTTTTCAATTACTTTTTCTTGGAGTTGCTAGAAGTATTATTGGTGGAGTTATATCCAGGCGCACTGATTCCCTCAGTGACTGGACCTTCCAGATACAGATGTCTTTATACTAAGATCACCTGAGACACATTCACAGACCTCAAAAAACATCTCCATTTCACTAATTGTGTGACTTTTAGTACCAGTTGGCTGCACCTGTGTTAAATGAGGTAAGGGGGTGCATACTTCTAATCTGTATTACTTTGTACAAGTTGGATTTCACTTTGACGTGAAAGAGTCTATTTTTAAAGTAAATTCTTGTCAAAAAAATGTCAATTAATAGACCACGATTCAATGGTGAAAAGCAATGAAAGGGGAAAATTTCCAAGAGGGGATGAATTCTTTTAAAAGGCACTGTAGGTAGTAAGCTCGCAATATGTAAATTACATTATTTAAATATTGCTATATCTACTAAACTATTCTTTGCTTTTTCCAGTGGACTACATCGTGATGCAGTTTGGACGAATAGCTGATGACATTTTCACACTGGACTTCAACTACCCGCTGTGTGCCGTGCAGGCCTTTGCAATTGCGCTCTCCAGCTTTGATGGCAAAATCGCTTGCGAATAACACAAAGATTCTCGGTTTTCTACTCAAACTGAAACCACTGTAGAACAGGCCCATACTCACATCTGACCAACCCATGTTTTTGGGCTCGCCTACACTTTCTGTGATAGGTTGACAACAAACGCTGGCTCTTTTGATGCAACAGTACATGCGGCTGACTCCCCCTCCAGGTGTAAGAAACAAAATCAGTCTCATATTATCTGATCTTGCACGGCATGGCGCAGGAAAATCTTGTTTTGTGTCTTCATAATTCAGTGGAAAATCTGAATTGCTGGGAATTACAGAAAAACACACACCATTCCAAAGGACTGCATTGACTGGAAAGTTATGAGGTACTGAGCAGATGATGTACCACAACAATGATGAAGGTGTTTATAGATTATTAACATTGATGAAAGATGTTGAACTTTGTTATGTTTTGGCTTTGTTATGCTGTATTCTATTTTATTGCTGTATACCGCAAATACCAGTAGGTCACCAGGGCCTTGTATCTATTATTTTTAAGGTAAAAATGTAATTTTAATTGGCAGAGTAACACTCTGTGACACATCAACAATCTGCACAGATGACACACTGTCACTCGGTCAGCATAAAATATTTAATCTTAAAGCTTAGTAAATCTCACAACAGCTGTCGTTCTCAATGGACTGTTCATGTTTGGTGACTGAAACAATTTCAGATATTTTTGATGTAACATGCATAGATGTGTAACATTTTAGAGTGTCTTTATCTCTAGGTATCTAATGTTAACATATGATAATTCGATATAAGTTTTACTTTTGAAAGGTTTCTTTTGTCTGTCTTATATTTGAGCTCTTGTAGGTTTTTCTATTTTCATGTTTTTGGTTCCAGAATTTTGTAAACATCAATGATTTACCTGAACATTGCCTTTGTTGCATTTCTAGGCTTATTGTCATGATGCATGTGAATTAAATTTTATTGAAGTCAACTTGTATGGTATAAAAAGGTTTTTGTCAGCCGTATCTTGTTTCTCAGTTTGGATATAGTACAAATCACAATGATATAATAAACCATATGGGATTTAGCAGACAGTCAGTGCTATCTTAAAATGACAAAATCCTATTTTAGGGTTTAGTCCCCACAATCCCTCTGTAAAGCCCTAAACAATAGGTATTTGTAATCTGTTGGAATAGTTATAAAATATGTTTTATGACTGTCTCATCTGCTGTGAGAAGGCAGCTGGCAGATAATCAGACAGATTCCAGTTGCGAGTTTTAGAGACACCCACGGTTTTCTTCAGTAGCTGCCTGACATGTTGAGAGGAGCTTCACTCAGGATGAAAAACCTGTTTGAACTGAGGGCCTTGAGAGTAAGTGAGAGGTGTGTATTCTGCCTGAACCTGCTCAGGCAGTTGTCCAAACTCGCAGATTAAATGAAGCCTGAAGCTGGCGGCTCTTCTGGACAGATGCTGCAAGGTGAGTTCTTCTTCCCCCTTTGTCTGTTTTGTTACGTGAGTTCCAGCTAAACAACTGGCAGAGCTGTTGTCATTCTTAAATGCCAATAAGCTCAAGTATTAGTCATTTTCACACCATGTGTATGCATAGTATTTCTGCTGTTGTGTCTCAGTAAAAATGTATTATCCTAAAATGTTGCAACCATGTTGTTCGCCAACAGAAGGAGCTGTTGCTGGACGTAAAAGTGTGGGTCTAAATTTGCGTGATTTATCGAGATACACAAACAGTCAGTGCTTGAAAGCTTTTTCAATAAATTAGCCCGGAAAAAAGGAAAACGGCAGCATTAGCTCTCAGTGCTTCCCTTTGAATTACTGCAGTGCACTATGTGTATTTACAATGGACAAACACTGGAGTTTATTTAATTTATTGCATTCAGCTGCTATAACTGCAAGTGTATAATTATGCAACAGATTTATGTTGATGTGTGCTTTACAAAGAGGCAAAAAAAAAAAATGACAGCAAACTATACATTACATACAACTTAATGCCTTTAATTGACACTATCACAGGTTGTGATTATGTAGACAAGGTTGCTATACATTAAATGAAACACTAAAGAACAACTTTTAAATTTAAAGGTAGGTTTTTGTGTTATAATAATATATTTTAAAAATCAATAAAAAAAATGAATACATGTATTACATGTGTTGTAATATTCAGTCAACAACTGTCAAAAATATTTTCTACTTTGCAAGTGAAATCTAGCGACTGACTAGTTTATACCCATTATAAACCCTAAACATCCAGGTGTGACCCTGTTAAATCCCCTTAAGGTTAAAATTAGTAAAACACTGTCTCACTATTGTATTTTATTTTTCAGTCTGCACAGGGTAGACATGTAAATGTCTCAAACGAGAAAATGGCCCGACACATTCCACATAAAATTTGTCTGAGAGAGAAAGATTTATGATGACTGTCAAACTGTCTTTTTGAAGCTCAGACTGGAACAATTTTATGTTCAGCTAAAGCTCAATCACTTCTTATAGAATGTAAAAATTACTCACAGATTGCATTATTCCAAATGCACACAAAATTATCTTTTGCCCATCAGTAACTCAGATTTGTGGTAAGCGTCAGGCAGAGGAGGTCTAGCTTTTGAAAGTTTCCCATTGTACTGTAAGACTCAGTGTTTCTGGGGTAGTATATTTGATCGCACATAACATATTATACATCAAAAACATCATTTTAGACATAGATATTTTATATTATGGTGTCGTGTTTCAAACAAAAAATGTTTCCTGTGATTGCAGAAGCAGGAACATCGACATGTGACTCCAGTTCTATGAGACCAGATTGAAATGTTGCAGAAGTTCTGTAATCTGTAAGTTTGCAAACAAAAAACAAACATCGATATATATATATTTATACATACACAGTCCATGTGTTGTTTTTTTTATATCACAAGCAAAAACAGGTGAGCATTTCCACCCATAAAGTACAGTGTACCGACGGCTGTCTCCTCTCCACTGTTCACACTTCCAGGGTTTCATCGGTAACAAACCAAAGGAACTAACCCTGTCAGCTTGCAGGGTGGGGCTCAATTATCCTCTTCAGAATTGGTTTCTGGTTCAAGCACGTACGACAGAATTAGTGTAATATCGCAACTTGGCATTGTGTAGTTTTAGGGTCAAGGGTGAGCTGGTGTGCTCCAGCTGCAGTGACTGTCGGAGAAGCGGGTGTAGTCGGAGACGAAGACTTTTTAAAAAATCAACACATTCCAAAGAAAGCAGCAGCATCCAGTTAGATTGAAACAGTTTTAAGGCACAGAGGGATTATTTTCATGGAAAACAAACTTGAACAAAGAACTCATTTGCAAAAAAAGGTAACTCCATTTTTGTAGATTTTCAGAAAACTTATTTTTTTTGTTGTTTGCTTGAGATAACATCAATCAAAGTGAAGTTGAGTGGATTTGAATTAGTAGAAATGACAGAAATAGAGGTAACTTAAGTTTGATTGATATTGTCTCAGGTAGACGATGGAAAAGTGGGTTTTCTGAAGGTTTGTGAAGATGGAGTTATCTGGTTTTGCAAATGAACTCTTCACACGTTACTTTGAAACACATGGATGAGTTTTTAGGGGTTTAATCGATGGCGAGGGAGGGACTTGGTTTGACAGGGGAAAAGTTTAAATCAAAGAATAGTAAAGTATGTGTGAAAAGCAAACCAAAACTGCTCCTAAGGTTGTTTTTCTGTATACTTTCAAACCCTGATTTGAATATACTGGTGTGTGTGTGTGTGTGTGTGTGTGTGTGTGTATGTACTGTCAGACTGGTTTTTAGGACAGGAAACTCAGGGATTTGGGGGGGGCGGGTCCTGCGCTGAAGTCTCTGCCCCCCAAGCCTGTTGATTGACGCGCACCAGTGGCTCCTCCTTGAAAGTCCTTTTTTTTCCCTCCCCCTTCGTTTTCCAGTGTAGTGCGTTGATTTCATACCAAAGTCATACTTAACATTCCACTTATACTGTCAAACCTCTGAGAAATATTACGGAAAACAACAACGCGCCAAATTATAACAAAGTTGCCAAATTGCGCAGTCGCTCCCACTGAGAAGGATAAGGTGACTGCCAGAATTTAAAAAAAGGTAAGTTCTCCACTAATGCTCCCTCTTTTTTCTTGCTTAGAGAACCTTTTTTTTTTTTTTCTGCGAAGTTTTTTCATGCCGCTTGTCTCGGTGAAGTTTTCAGATCATTGTCATTTTTTACATTTTTCCGCGGAGCTCCCTGCGTTGGGAGGGAAGAAAACATTTGCAGATTGATACTCTATTGTGTTTGACTTTCCCAGTGTGCAGGGATATCTTTGACAGGCTCTGTACAATCTGATTTCCACCGGTAGCCCGCTCTTTGGCACACACTATTACAAAAAACAAGAGAGAGAGAGAGAGTGTGAGAGAGAGGGGGGAAGAAAAAAGCTTTTGACAGAAGAGAGTTGGGCCAATATGTTTGTTTTGTGTCTCGCACAGTTCCTACCTGGATCCAACACTTCCAGCCTCGGTCCTCAACAGAAATCCAACAGTTATACCTACAGGCACAGACTGAGACAAAACACAAAAAAACATTTGGAGGAATACACAGATTCAGTGTGGTTTGGACCTCTGCATCCTAAAGGTAAGACACGTTCTTGATTTGTGAGGCGAGAGCTGCTGTTGCTTCACCAAATACAGACACAAGGAATAAATAGACAAAGAAGCACAAAGCACTTGACTTGTTTACTGCAAAAGACACCAAGATTCTCTGATTTTATTTTTATTAATTTTTTTTAAAGTGTGCATGAACACAGATGGATTAGCTCCATAAACTTTCTGTTTATTTTTATTTTTTATTTTTTTAGATTTACATTAAAAATAGACAAGATTACTTTAGATTTTTATTCCATTTTGAACTAATGTACAGACAAATATTTAAAGATGCTCATGAATAAGTTAACTGATATCTTCAAAGGGGTTTTACTTTGTAGTTCAGTATAAAAATGTTTTCTACATGTCTGAAACTTCTTTAAAACACATTTTATTCCTGAAAATGCACAGAAAGATACAATATGTAGTGTAAATGTATCACAGGAGAACAACAGCAGATTTATCATTATAAAGAACAAAAACACAATATGAAATAAAGGCATCAATATTTAATATTTAATATTCCATTGCTAATTGGGAGTTACACTTCTGTAGACCTGTTGTAACTGAAAGTATTTTTTTTAATATGAAAATATATGTGTCAGTTTAGTAGCTGATCACAAAAAATATACATGAAAAATGTGAAAAAAAGTAGCAATTTTTTTCAATTTAGAAGATATTCAGAAGCTCGAAGAAGTAAGCAACAGACTGCGAGACAAACAAAAAAAAGTAAAAAGATCTTGCTGTCTAAAAGAGCTTGCTTAGAGCACAAGGGGATTGTAACAGAAATGTACAACATCTATCTATCTATCTATCTATCTATCTATCTATCTATCTATCTATCTATCTATCTATCTATCTATCTATCTATCTATCTATCTATCTATCTATCTTACTGACTTTTCCTTTCTTTGATGCCAACAAACAGGGCATGTGATGATACTCTGCAAAGTCCTCCTAAGTACATAATTCATAGGTGAGGATTTGAGATGCATGGATATGTGGAGAGCTAATTGTATAATTATATGCGTGCCACCTCAGGCTACACCTGCTTTCAGTCTGTGTGTTGTTAGTCCAGACAGCAGTAAAACTGATTTTTTATTTTTCTTTCACAGAGAAAAATGTTTCACTTGGTTATACAATGTAAAAAATAACAACGACAGCATGTTCACACTTTCTTCAGCCCAAATTTGTGCAGTCATTTGAACTGCACACTGAAGTCACTTACAGTCAACAGGTTTGACTAAGCAGCAGAATGCAGTCTGTCAGGTTGGTCACAGTAAGCAGAATAACCTGCCAACCTTTTCGCTGTCTGTTTTCACTCCCGCCACATTTTTTTAAAAGTATAAATT